TCTTCTATCGTAAAACAAAAATCACTGCCACTTAAAAATTGTATCAGAAAAGCGTAATGATTCCACACATTCCACAACCAGGCCGGATAGAAGCAATACATGAGCACTTAGAACTGGTCTAGCTGCAGACAAGGCGAAAGCATTTTGAGGAAAAGCAAAGAAAATACTTTGCCAGCCAATAAATTATTTCGAATGTATAAATCAAGACAGGCACGGAGTTTGGAAACATGTTAAAGCCATTCTAAGATTTATTTCAGAAGCAGCCAGCCCGCAGAGGAGAAAGGGTACTGAATGTAAGCGTGTGCCGTCGGAACTCCATTTCGCCGGAGATGTGTTACCACTTTTATTTTATTTTAATTTCCCCACGAATATGTGTCAGGGATTGGGGGTAAAGGTGGACGGGCATCCAGGTGCCCCCAGCCATCACAACCACTTGACTACCCAAACAACTTGCGCAAAACTTCATCGTCGAGCTCCTCCGAGGAGGAGGCACCACTCGAGGAGGTTCGCATTCGCATGTCTGGCGGTCTGGAGGTCTGGGGGTCTGGGGGTCTGAGAGTCTGCTCTTTGATTTCGTGGCAGATTTCAAGTGTTTAACTTTGCGGGAATTGCGGAATGGTATGGGAAGCGGGTAGCTTCCATAGCGGATGCAGTTTCATAATTTACTGCCTCCCCGGGAGCTGAATTTTCGGATTCACCATTAAGCAGTTACATTGAAACCAGCCCACATTTCAACACCGCCGGCAAGTCCTGGCTCATCTAAAATGCTCCTTGAATCGAATCGGCTTAACTCTGGCTTTTCCAATATATACATATATCGCAGTATATAATCCCAAATCAGATTTTTAAAGTAAGGAATATGCAGAAACACATTGGGTGGTTTAGTCTGGATTTAAGATCAACCTTTAGACATCATCAACTTAAGCTTTAAAAGGGTTTCTCCAGTCTTTTGTCTTAAAAAAAGCCCTTCAATTTTGTGTTTTATTGCGTTCTTGTAATTATTATAAAACTTAAGCTATAGCCATGAGTATTGTTAAACTTGTAAAAGACTTTTAACGGCATCAACCCCCAAAAAATAGTTATGAACTTTACGCCTCGCCAATGTAATAGAAGAAACCCTTAAAACTGGAAGGATGAGGAGGCTGGATGACACAATGAAAAGACAGTTGCCAAAGTGCCAAAAGGAGTATCTGTGTGTATGCAGGCAGGACTTGAAACGGTAGACACATTCACTCTCGACATTCCCCACATTGTCTGAATATCCTTTCGTACCTTGGATTTCCCAACCATACCCCATCTAAAAAAGAAAAAGCCTCTCCAGTCTGTCTGGTCGCCTTTTTTAACTGTCGTTGACTTTTTGCATACTTTTTCAGCTTTATTTGCTTTATTTTACTTCAGACGACTCCTCGGTTCCTTTTCAACATTCATTCAAAGAAAAAAAAATATATATGACTATGTGGAATAAAAACATTTTTGAATGCGTTATAATTTACTTAAAAAGTACGTCGACATCTCCATCATAATTCCCATTGTGTGTATGGTTTAGTCTGACTGTTGGACTGTCTGGAACATTTTTAGGCATTTGTATCTTTTGAAAGAGCTCTATATGTATCTTTTGGATGCCGCTGTGTGTGCTTCAGATTAGCAGGCTTATTAAGCTCTTGGCTGGGTACGTGTGCATCTACTTTATGGCGATTTAGATTGGAACTGGAACTTGAGCATCTGCCATATTTATGACTAGGTTATTGGGGTCAAGCGGATATTAGATGCCCTGGGTTCTTTTGAAACCTTTACATCCCAATTGATCTATGCCATAAACAATTTTTGGAGAATAAAAAATGCATTTCAATATTCCATAAAGGGTTATAATGGAAGTGCTATATGAGACACTTTTATTGATTTATAGTCCAGGATGTTTTTAGGATTATATTTTATAATCTTTGTTTAAATGAGAAAAATATGTTAGTTTCTAAAATTCCATGTTGGAACCATAGTTTTCTTGCCACAAAGCCCATCCAGCATTTTGTGGGAAATAAATTCAATTAAAAATTTATTATTCTGCACTGCTGGTGGCCAAGGCTGGCTAATTAATTAAAAATTAGGATAGTGCTAGGAAATGAAATTGCGGCAAAGCACAAAGGTGGGCATGGGCATGCTCGAATATTGCAACTTACGACAAGCAAAAGATGAAAGACTTGGCACGCTCAAAATAAAATCCGTGAGCGGTGGGTTGGGTGGTTGGCTGGTTGGCTGGTTCGCTGGCACAAGGACGACGGGTCTACCGGTAATCCACTTTAGTAATTCTTCTGCTGGTGCCACACTAACACTGATTGTTACACACTAAAATCGAATTAAACTTGCCGCTGCATTCGCTGCATTTCTTGTTGGTGTTGTTCGCCGCACTTGCCACACGTTGCACAACAACTTTCGCTGTAACTTTTACTTTGTTTGCCGCCGCCCTGCAGCAGGATCGGCAAAAAAACGCACAAAAGGACCTTCAAGACGTGCAAAAGTCTCAACTTTTTCCTGGCGCTTCCTTTTTTTGTTCTTTATTTTTTTATTTTTGTTGGTCAGGAAGCTGAACGCGTAAAAAGGATTTTCCTTCCGACACACAGAACGCGACAAAAGTTATCCTTTGGCAGGAATTATCCTTTGCCTTCTCCGGCATATATTTATTATAATTAATAATTTTTATTGTTTCGGGTCCAGGACTTAGGATCAAAGAAAAACTCCAAAAAGTTTTTGGTCGAAAAGCCTTTATTTTAAAACGTTTTTCCGGTTAAATCTTATTTTAAATTTTATTATTTATATTAAGTTCTTTTTAGAAAAATTTAAAAGACAATTATTTAAACATGTTTGATGAGATTTAATTTTTATTTTGGAATTAAGGTAAAAAGCTTAAAGATTAAAGCATAAAATAACTAAAGATATAAATTATTACAAAATAATGAATCAGATATTTTTTTGAGAAATATTTCCAATCGTTGCTTGAATTAGCTTTTCAAATCCTTGATGATTTTTCAACATTAAAGTTTCGGATCTATAGATTATTTTTTATGCATTATACCCGAAAGAAACAAAATGTTTTTGGCACTGAACTGATTTGTATTTTGTTTTTTTGAATTTCTGGATTATTTGAGATTGTTGCATTCGCACTACAACAACACCGCCGCGGAAAAGCTCAGTCCAATCGGAAAAGCAAACCGTACTCGATGAAAACTGAAAACGAAAGAAAACTTCGGCCGCCTCCACAGCGTTCGCCGGCCGCTGTCGCCAGCAACATATCGCCAGCAACATGATTGGCAGCATTGTTGCAGATACATGTTGCAGATACATGCTGCCCAGGTTGAGTGTAAGTTTGAGTCAAGTTTGAGTGAAGTTGCTGGCGGCAGTGTGGTGAACTTCCAAGTTGGCGGGGAAAAAGGGGTAAATTCACATTGGGCACATTGTTGCGGGACTTTGCCAATGTTGCTGGAATTTTTCTTGGTCGAAACATGATGCTGCCTTCAAGATTCAAAATTAGGATTCGGCTGAAAACATCTGTACAAAAAAAAAACAAACGAAACTGAAAACTTAAAAGAAAACTAACCAAAGAAAACTTCTACCGCCTATACAGGATTTACCGGCCGATATCGCCAGCACCATGATTGGCAAAACATATTTAAGTTCCAAGGGCAACACAAAAGCGAAAATATTTTAGTCTTAACATTGGACACATTGTTTGCTGGATTTGCAGATTAAAAATGTCAACGAAAAAAATTTAAAAAACAAACAGATAAAAGAAATATTAAAAAAAAAAGGATGAAAAATCGAATTAAATTTGATTTAAACCTCGGAATGAAACCAAGACCAACATCGATCAAGACATAGAATGAGTAGAATTTAAAAATAAAAAAGCAACTTAAAACAAGAAATACAAAAATAAGAGCCGGAAAATGATAAAACCTTCGTTAACGTTAAAAAAAAAAATCATAAGAGCCCCGGAGAACACCTCTACAAGGAAAACCCGTACACCAAAAAAAAAAAAAAAGAGAATTAAAAACAAAATCATTTTAGAATTAGGATTCAATTATTTTTAACCCAAAAATAAAAAAACGATACAAAATAATAGTAGCTTTCTGAATGCCAAACTCCAACTGAAAGGAGAAGGATGGAAGTGGAGCCAGATACAGAGACCCGCTGTTGTATAACAGAGAACGGAGCATTAAAAGATCCCAAAAGTCACAGAAAAATTAAAATAATAAAATAAATAAAATAAAATAACAAAAAAGAAAATAAGTAAACATATGTATGCCAAGACTTGCTCCAAGAAAGATGTGGATATTGAGGATAACAGAAAACAAAACTCTGCAAGACCCCAAAAGTCATATAAAAATTAAAATAATAAAATAAAATAAAAAACAAAACAAAAAAGTAATCATATGCCAAGACTTGCTCCAAGAAAGATGTGGATATTGAGGATAACAGAAAACAAAACTCTGCAAGACCCCAAAAGTCATATAAAAATTAAAATAATAAAATAAAATAACAAACAAGAAGTCGAAGAAACATTCCTCTAAGAAAGTTGTGGATATTGAAGATTAAAATATATTAAAAAAAAAAGGAATAAAAAAATAAGCTCCTGGCTCCAGCTTGAGCTCTAGACTCTGACTGTTTGAAAAACGATGCCTGTGCCCTTTATATATCCCAGATATGGCCCAAAAAATCGATTGCAAAGCCTTCTTGGTTTGTAATAAAATCGGGCATGTTAGAGTTGCCTCCTTGGAACTAAGCAATAATAAGCATAATTACATCAATTTCAAAAATTCCCGCTAAATTGGGATCCCACTTTTCAGTGAGGCCAGCCTCCATGGTGCAAGAGAGAAGAAACATCGGACCTCTCACTTTGCACAGCTCCAAACGTCTACATGACATGTGTGTGTGTGGCCTTAGTGTGACCAAAAAAAAAATATCGGAACAGAATAAATATTTTCGTCATCCCTGCCGATGTTTTGACGAGACCCTGTCACCTCTGCCCATCTCTACCTTCTTTTCAACCTCAAGTTTCGTCCGGTGCAGGCGTGTAGTGTTTTTTGGTCCGCGAGAAAATCTACAACATCCAAAATGGTAGGTGCCACTTATGAAAAATAACTGGTTGGGGCGGTGGAGGATGCCCTGGACGAGATGTCCGCGGTGATATTTGCCGAGTCCGGTCCTCCCAAGGAGTTGGACCAAAAAGTGTAGACGTGACAACGGTTACCTGTCGAAATAACGTATATAGCGTATATATATACGAGCAGCCATGTAGTGCAGGCATGCCTGTGTGCGTGTGGTACGTCCCGTTGTGAAATGCAAGACAAAGAAGATCTATTGGCGCAAGTGCCCAGAGTGACGTATGCAGTTTGCTATTGAAATTTCACAAGAAGTAGCACCCATGTATTGGTGAAAGTTGTGAAATGCGACGGCCCTGAGGGCCAGCCGCCTCTAAATATATACATTCCGATGCTGCTGTGTTAGTGTGTGGGTGAGGCTGATAGAATCTTTTTTTTTTTTTTTTTTTTTGGGAATAGGCGACGCAAGTGGTTCTCGGTTCTTATCTAACCTCAAAGTCCATCATGGCATGACTTTAAAGTGTGCATATGTTTGTGTGAGGACGCCATTTTTAATAATCACACACAGATGCAATCGGGAACGAGTTCTAGTACATAACACACGAAAACACACTTACTTACCAATGGTCTCCTTTTTTTTTTTTTTAGGTCAACTTCACCGTCGACGAAATCCGTGGCCTCATGGACAAGAAGCGGAACATCCGCAACATGTCCGTGATTGCTCACGTAGACCACGGCAAGTCCACCCTGACCGATTCTCTCGTGTCCAAGGCCGGTATCATTGCCGGAGCCAAGGCTGGTGAGACCCGTTTCACCGACACTCGCAAGGATGAGCAGGAGCGCTGCATCACCATCAAGTCGACGTAAGTGTCAAGTCAATGACATGCATCTTTGGGTCACTTATGGTTTACTTATGTTTCTTCCTTGTCCACCATTACAGTGCCATCTCTATGTACTTCGAGGTGGAGGACAAGGATCTGGTGTTCATCACCCATCCCGATCAGCGTGAGAAGGAATGCAAGGGTTTCTTGATCAACTTGATCGATTCCCCCGGTCACGTGGATTTCTCCTCTGAGGTGACCGCTGCTCTCCGTGTGACCGACGGTGCCCTCGTCGTCGTCGATTGTGTGTCCGGTGTGTGTGTCCAGACCGAGACCGTGCTGCGTCAGGCTATTGCTGAGCGCATCAAGCCCATTCTGTTCATGAACAAGATGGACCGTGCTCTGTTGGAGCTGCAATTGGACGCCGAGGAGTTGTACCAGACTTTCCAGCGTATTGTTGAGAACGTAAACGTCATCATTGCCACCTACAACGATGACGGCGGCCCGATGGGTGAGGTGCGCGTCGACCCCTCCAAGGGATCCGTGGGCTTCGGTTCCGGTCTGCACGGCTGGGCCTTCACCCTCAAGCAGTTCTCTGAGATGTACTCCGAGAAGTTCAAGATCGATGTGGTCAAGCTAATGAACCGGTAAGTAAATAGTATACTCCCATGTGGTAGGTAGATATCAACGCTTCTAGCACAAAACGTGTGACGCTGAGCGTGCGGCATCTTGGAGAGTTGACCCTTAGGGGTTAATTCTGTTTAGAGTCGCGCGTGCTGAGGGCGCCACAAGTGCTACAAAAATAGAAGCAGAGCATGCTGCAGGATGCTGTTGAAACGCTGCCTCGTGACCTCTTTCCTAATGTCTCAACGAGTCATGCTAAGGCAGTATCCTTACACTTGTATATATATTATATAAGATATAGTATCCTAATATCGTGTACAGACCACTAATCTCTTCCATTATCTCCATTTTACAGTCTGTGGGGTGAGAACTTCTTCAACGCCAAGACCAAGAAGTGGCAGAAGCAGAAGGAGGCCGACAACAAGCGCTCTTTCTGCATGTACATCCTGGATCCCATCTACAAGGTGTTCGATGCCATCATGAACTACAAGAAGGAGGAGATCGGTGTCCTGCTGGAGAAGATCGGTGTCACCCTGAAGCACGAGGACAAGGATAAGGACGGCAAGGCTCTGCTGAAGACCGTTATGCGCACCTGGTTGCCCGCCGGTGAGGCTTTGCTTCAGATGATTGCCATCCATCTGCCATCGCCAGTGGTTGCCCAGAAGTACCGTATGGAGATGTTGTACGAGGGCCCCCACGACGATGAGGCCGCCGTTGCTGTGAAGAACTGCGATCCCGATGGTCCTCTGATGATGTACATCTCCAAGATGGTACCGACCTCCGACAAGGGACGTTTCTACGCCTTCGGTCGTGTGTTCGCCGGCAAGGTCGCCACCGGCCAAAAGTGCCGCATCATGGGCCCCAACTACACTCCCGGCAAGAAGGAGGATCTGTACGAGAAGGCCATCCAGCGTACCATCCTGATGATGGGTCGTTACGTCGAGGCCATCGAGGATGTGCCCTCCGGCAACATTTGCGGTCTGGTCGGTGTCGATCAGTTCCTGGTCAAGACCGGTACCATCACCACCTTCAAGGATGCCCACAACATGAAGGTCATGAAGTTCTCCGTGTCGCCTGTCGTGCGTGTGGCTGTTGAGCCCAAGAACCCCGCCGATCTGCCCAAGCTGGTGGAGGGTCTGAAGCGTCTGGCCAAGTCCGATCCTATGGTGCAGTGCATCATTGAGGAGTCTGGCGAGCACATTATTGCCGGTGCCGGTGAGCTGCATTTGGAGATCTGTCTGAAGGATCTGGAGGAGGATCACGCCTGTATCCCCCTGAAGAAGTCCGACCCCGTGGTGTCCTACCGTGAAACCGTGTCGGAGGAGTCCGACCAGATGTGTCTGTCCAAGTCGCCCAACAAGCACAACCGTCTGCAGATGAAGGCCCTGCCCATGCCCGACGGTCTGCCCGAGGACATCGACAACGGAGAGGTTACCTCCAAGGACGAGTTCAAGGCTCGTGCCCGTTATCTGTCCGAGAAGTACGACTACGATGTCACCGAGGCCCGTAAGATCTGGTGCTTCGGTCCCGACGGTACCGGACCCAACTTCATCCTCGACTGCACCAAGTCTGTGCAGTACCTGAACGAAATCAAGGATTCCGTTGTCGCTGGTTTCCAGTGGGCCTCCAAGGAGGGTATCCTGGCCGATGAGAACTTGCGTGGTGTCCGCTTCAACATCTACGATGTGACCCTGCACGCTGATGCCATCCATCGTGGTGGTGGCCAGATCATTCCAACCACCCGTCGTTGCCTGTACGCTTCTGCCATCACCGCCAAGCCCCGCCTCATGGAGCCCGTCTACCTGTGCGAGATCCAGTGCCCGGAGGTTGCCGTCGGTGGTATCTACGGTGTGCTGAACAGGCGTCGTGGTCACGTGTTCGAGGAGAACCAGGTTGTGGGCACCCCCATGTTCGTTGTCAAGGCTTACCTGCCCGTCAACGAGTCGTTCGGTTTCACCGCCGATCTGCGCTCCAACACCGGTGGACAGGCCTTCCCTCAGTGCGTGTTCGATCACTGGCAGGTTCTGCCCGGCGACCCGTGCGAGCCCGCCAGCAAGCCCTACGCCATCGTCCAGGACACCCGCAAGCGCAAGGGTCTCAAGGAGGGTCTGCCCGATCTCTCCCAGTACTTGGACAAGTTGTAAGCGACCATTTAGACCGCCACCACTATTACTACTACTCGCCACCCAACCCCCCACACACCAACAACAAAAACCATGTGCAGCATGCTGAGAGGGAGGAGAAAAATAGAACAAAGTGGAGCGCCAGGAGACAACAACAACAACAACATCCAGATCCAGCCCGGCACCTCAAGCAACACCCACGGCCGCTGGTAGTGTTTTAAAACACAAACCATTAAAGAAATTTTGATTATTAATTGTATAACATTAAAACACAACCACAAAATAAATCAACTAAATGATTATACGCTTAAGTTTATATAAAAACAAAAAATACACGTGATGTGTGGTCGAACTGATAACAGTATCAGCCCTGTGGGTGGCGTGGGAGTTTCTCTTTACAGATCCTTAACAGACCGGAAACAGACCTTTACAGAGCTTTCTTCTCTTTACAGAATCTTTACAGAGGTAGTGGTATTGGAAATGGAGGTATTACCAGAATTTCAGTCTAAATGGAGGCTCCAATTTATTGTTAGACGTACAAAATATGACAATAGGTCTTAAAGTACATCTATATATAATATGAGAAAATCGGATAAGGATTACGGATAACCTCAAAAAATACATGAAAATTTAGAAAAAGGCACCAAGAGGATGCCAGATTTTTGAAAAATATTTTTAAAACGTCAGTAACTTGGCCTAGAAAACATCGGCCAGCTTGACTATCTCCACCAGAGACTGAGATGGTTCGAGATTCTGAACCGTCTGGTTTGGATATTTGAAAGTTAGGCGACACTTATCCAACACACGATCGAACTCCGCCAAGCCAAAGTCCGGGGCATGGGATTCTAGAGCCTCCTCCCACTGAGGACGCTTGGGCTCCAGCGTCTGGTCAGCGTCGGCATAGATGGTTGCCACAGCGGCGCCAGCTCCCTCCAACATGGCCAGGAGTAGACAGCCTGAGAAGGCTCCATTGGCCATGGAAAAAATCCCCCTCCGAGCGGCTACAATGCCACCAGTAACTGCGCCGCTTACAATAGAGTTCCAGGAATCGTCGCGCTGGCGAAGGTGGGACACGGCACAGTCCACCGTGCTGTAGGTGGCTCCCCAGAGAGCAAAGCTTCCGGCGATGCCCGGAGTACGAATTTTGACGGATTCCAATCCGTTATACAGGCCCCGCGCCAGTCCGGACGGTGAGTTCCGGAATCCCTTTAGGTACTGGAACATTGCTCCTCCAACCGAGCCAATCATATATCCGCATCCGCAATCCTCAACAATCCTGATCGGACACGGCTGTCGTGTATACTCCATAATAAATAATTCCGCAATAAAACCCAAGGACTAATGCCAAGACTTTAGATGAATATCGAAAATATCCTTAATATTCAGTCGACTTGACTCTCCTAGTGTTTATTTTATTTTCCGGAAAGGAAGTTAAAATGGTGTGCCTTCGGTAACGTCTTTTGAATAACACAGATTGAAACATAGGTGTTAGCTTGTGACATATTTTTCTAGTTGTTTTCAATTCGACGTGATTTAAAATTTTCAAAAAGTTGCGCGGGCTTGAAATGGTTTTTGTCTTGGCTTTATCTACAGAACGCGTAATAGCGATGGTACTTTTAAGTGGCTTAAATAATCGATAAAATAGAGGTGGGCTAAAATTAAGGCTTATTCTTCGGATTGGATTTCAAAACTTGAAAGGTGTTTTGAACTCAGTTGTTGTTATCTCAAGCTGAACTGTTTTACCATATCAATGTCCTTAAGGATTTCTATTTTTAAGCTCTAGTTTAATGGTTATTTCTCATGGAAAATTGGGTAAATAATCTTAAAACTGAAAAACATTAAAGTTCATAACTTGCAACCATTGCTTGCCATTTGATACACTTTGACATCGCTAGATTTCACCCCGAAATTCGCTGTTCACCTTATAAACAAATCGTTCGTTGACTGAGAGTTGTAATGTTGTAAGCAGCGGACGAAGCAACGGGAATGTGCGCGTAGGTACGCATGTGTGAGTCGTTTTCTCGGGCCCATTTGTGTGTTGTTCTGTGTGCAAATTGCAAAATGCGAACATTCTCGGAAATTGCCCCCGCTGGTCTGTTTTTGTCATCGGTTCAAAAGGCAGGCCGCCGCCACCGCCAGCCGTTGTCGTCGCCGCCGCCGCTACTGCTGTTACCTCTGTTACCGTTGTTTTAGCGTCGCCGCGGCGTCTGTCATTACGATTGCCACCCCCTTGCAGTCCTATTCTCTGATTGGGATTAGTCTATTTTTAGCTCAAACGCTTCCAATTGGAAGACTCTTGATTTGACCTTTTGGCAGTGGCCAAACGCGAAAGCTTTCAGCTGTAATTATTAGGCAAAGCCGAAAAAAAAAAAAAAAATCACAGAGTGTGTGTGTGTGTGTGTGTGTGTCGGTGCGTTGGCGTTTGAATGTGTGTTTGGCTGTGGTGTCTGCATGTGAAAAAATCGATTCCAGACTCCCTGCAGAAACTTCACTTCATTCAGTAAAGGAAGGAAAGCCGAGCCAAAAAGGAAAGGAAAGGAAGCAGAAGCAGCAGAAGAGAGGCAGCGACGCCGACGTAGCCGCAGCAGTAAATTTCACATCTAGACAAAGTTTGTCTCTGTCTCCTGCACGCTTATACATATGTGTGTGTGTGGGTGTAGGTGGGTGGCTGGAAGCCGATAACACCGGAAATGAATTTTTGCCCGTATTAGAAACTTAAAAATGGCAAACTTTTTATTTCAATCGCTTGTGCATCCGTTTAGTTGCCATTTTTTTTTAGGCCAACCCAGTATAAAAAAAAATTATAACAAAAAAAAAAACGTGTTTATATATAGCCACTCACAAAGAGTGTGCAAAAGCGTAGTAGTATTAGTATGTGTGTGTGTGTGTGTGTCTAGCTGGAGGTGGGTGGCGTGGGAGGTACTTTGTGTGTGAATGCGCCTGACTCTCAAACTCCTCTCAGCGGGACCCCAAAGTGTATAGAAAATATGAATGAAGATAGCGGAGAAGCGAATAGTGTGCTTCTCCCACACACTTTCTCACTTGTTGTTTTTGCTATTGTTGATTTTTCGCACCTCCACCTTCCAGTATCCTTCCAATGCTTCTAAAAAAAAAAAACATCTCTGGTTGAACAGTTTTTAATTGCCTGGATTTTAAGTGATTTTTAAATCAGAACAAAGAACGTAACGAATGGCAAAATAATGCCAAGGATTTAATGGTATATACATACAAAAATTCCATGTCCAAATATGATCCGACCACCGACCACATGTTTTATTCAAAAAAAGGCAAAATTAAGATTATAGAACCCCATTTAGATATTAGTTTCGATGGTTTTCTAGGCCATTCTTTATAGTGCGTGCCTTGGCCAGTCACGAGAACAAAGGTCAACTTTGACAGGCATGTTTTTCCATACCCCCCCCCAAGCCTTATCCTGCCAAAGTCAATTTTCATTTCCACCTAATCGGAAAATATCAATATCGACTGTGTTTCCATGAAGGTGTCTTCCGGCTGGCTTCAAAATCGCACGACAAGCTAATAGCTCCTAATTGGGAATCACGCCAACGAAATCAATATTAATTATTTATTAAGAGCACCTTTCCCCACCCTCTCCACCCACAGCATCGTCGGCATTTCGATGACGAATTTAATGACCTGAAAACGGAGGCCAGAGGACGATACAAAATCGAGAGAAAAAAAAAGAAAAAGCATCGCGAATCACTTTCACACACTGCATAGATGAAAATTGAAACAGCCGACAACAAAGCAACGTCGACAGCGACGCTGGCTGAGGCCGCGACAGAGGCAGAGGCAGAGGCAGTGGGCGCATTGATTCCATTTTCATAATCAACGAAATAATAATAAAAAAAAACACAATAAAACAGCTGAAGAGAAGGTCCCCCCTTTGGTCGATGGTTTCAATGAAAATCGCATAATGGCAGAGGTATCTGAATCGTGTGGAGCACGCGATTCAAACGGAGACACGGAGAGCGCTGAGGAGGCGGTTCACCTGGAGGCGGGGCAGTCCGAGGCAGGGGGAGCGGCAGCTGGTGCTGCTGGTCCAGCGGCGATGGCAGATTCCCAGCCCGCATTGGACGCCGACTCTCTGGAGGCGGAGGTGGAGGCGGAGGCCACTGGAGATGGGGATGCTGCTGATGCTGCAGATGCTGCTGGAAGTGACCAACAAAGGGAAAAGTATGTCGCAACTTTTAACTGAAATTGAATCAAAATTGTAAATCCCCATTAACATAGTACTCTGATGCTAAATACACTGAAAGAAAACCTTTAACAAACTAAGGAGTTTGTGAAAAATATGTCAAATTAAAATATACTTTGTAGTATTCAGTTTTAAAATTCTAAATTTCTGTAAACTTTTATTTTGTGACTAGCGATTGTATTAAATTATTATAAGACTTAGACAAGGCTTATTTTTATAATTTTAAAAATAAATAAAATGAATCTGAAATACATAATATCTCTTAACTCTATCAGATATATAAGACCTGCAGAACAAGTGTAAATTTTAATTTAAAGATAAAGTTAATCTTTGACTCTTTTTTTTTAATGTTTTATTGCAGGGGCGATCAACTGGAATTGCAATCCTCGCAGGAGCCCATCTCCATGGATGACATACCTGAGCCCATTAAGGTCCTTGATGATATCATATCGGAGTTCGAGGAGGCAGCAACGAAACCGGTGGCCTTGCATAGCAACAGTGGCGAGAATCAGTCCGAGGACGATGGCTACATGAGTCTCAGCCGTAAAAAGTAAGTATCTCATCCACTTGCAGGGATTTGTGGCTTGGTCTTAACCCAATTGAGAGATAGTATGGTATTTAAGTACTTATCCTATAGGAAGGGATTTTGAGGGAAGAGGGAGATACATTTTCAGATTAAATATCTTTTAAGAAATATCTTCATATTTTAATTTAAACTTTAATAAACCCATCCAATATACTAATCACTTTCGAACCTTCGAACTCGGCAGCATGTCCAAAAAGGATTCCGAGGATGTACCACAGACACCCAGCACCGACACCGTGCCCGAGGGCAGTTTCAATGAGGTGGATGGCACGGCCGAGAACCTAACCAAATTATCTGAGGTGGAGCATGGCCAGGAAACGACGACGCCACTCATACAGACAACGCTGGTGAGTATGGAGATGGGGTATAAGGGATGTGTCTGCTAATGGGAAACCAATTAACCCACCGCCATCAACTGTCTCGTTTGGTATACGAACCCACAGCCAAAGGCACGGAGCGCCAACTCGACTCCGGCCACCAACTCGAACTACTCAAGTTTGCCGTGCTGCGGGGCCAGGGCGTCCAACTTGGGCGGAGCTTCCGTTGGCCATTCCTCAAGTGGATTGGCAGCCATCCGGCACCCGGGCAGCTGCAATGGCGAGCGTAATGCACTGGGCATCGACATCAGTGCCGTGCACAATGCAGTGCTTAGGGGTAACCTGGCCAAATTGCCGGAGCCCATCGTCAATGAACATCCGGTGACCATCTATCCGGGCCCGTCATCAAAGGCGTCAGGCGGTGGTGAGGGCAATCGTGGCAAGCGACTGCTCAGTTCGGTGGAGAAGCACAAAGAGGTGTGCCACATGCTCAATCCACAATCCAGTAGCTCGGCTAGCTCCTCATCCGGATCACAGCACACGTCCAGTGGCGAGGCCTCACCAGCAGCCTCGCATGTCAATGTGGCCGCTTCCAAGTCGATTGCCAGGCAGGACGACTACTCTGAGGACTCACTGGAGGAGTCCACCATCTCCACGGATCTCACGCCGGTCAAGCAGAACGGCGTGGCCTGGGAGATTCACTTCAAGAGCAACAAGAAGAAGTCCGGAGGATCAAAGAAGACCTCAGCTAATGCGTCCAAGAAGGTAAGAGTATATATTAGGAAGAGTATACATTATATTACATTATACCTTCTTTTTGGAGCAGCAATCTCGTACCCCCATTTTGGACGACTTCAACAACAGCTTTGCGTACAACGAGCAGAGCATGCTGGGCAAGGGAACCTTCATCATCCGTCGCTCTACCGCCAAGAAGCCGCCGCGTGCCGCCGATGTGTTCAGTATACCGAAGCCCCCGCGTCCATCGCTGGGCGATAGATCTTTGCCCGGATCTGGTTTGGTAGGTGGAGCCGGAGCCATCAGTAACGAGTTCTATACCAGCGACAGCGAGCAGAGCGATGCCGCTCCAGTACCAGTTAATCTTCCACCACCACCGGCTCCCGTCGAGATGAACTTCGTCTACAAGGAGTGTGAGGCGAATGCGTTGCACACACGCCGTGGCTTGGAGATGGCCGCCGCCCAGCGGGCTGCTCTATCCTTGGACATTGCCGAGGCACCTGACCAACTGGGCCTCGGCAAGCCGGTGAAGAGCAAAACGACTATGCTCACCGAGAAGCGACTCAGTGCCGAGTCCATGCCGGATAACACCTCCAGCAGTGAGGAGTTTGACGAGGCCCGTCTCAATGGGAATGGGAGCTACGACATGTATGCCTACAACGGTAATGGTAGGTGTTCTAAAAGGATTCAAAGAATATGGTTTAACCCTAATCTCTTCTAGATCTGCGGGTTTCGAACGCCACCACTCCCCACACAGATCTGGCCCCCACTCTCGAGGAGGACGAGGAGTCGGACTTCAGCTATGGGTGTGCTCCGCTCAAGCAGATTGAGCACAACATCAGCGCCTTGCTGCGTGGAGACATTCCCATCGTCGGCCAACAGCCGTGCAGTAACGGAGCTATTGCAGCAGCCGGGGCTGGTGCTGCTGCGGTATCTGCTTCAGCAGCTGCCACAGCCGCGGAGTTGCATGCCAAGCGGGTGCTGGAGTTTCGCCCCGGCGTCCACAAGTCGGAAAGCGCCAAGGAAATGTTGCTCTCCCAGATGCCAAGCTTCGGACCGTTGCCTCCATCGCCTCCCAGCTCCAATCCAGATCTGTTTGACTATGATGCTCCGCTTCCGCCATCGCCTGTGGAGCCTCGCAAGCAGCTGGAACTGCCGGCTAATGCCCCGCCACCGAACCGCGGGACCACCGTGGTGGAGGTACATGCCACCGCCTCGGGAGCTGCCGTGCACAGCAGCAACAGCCATACCCGCCGTAGTCGCGATAACGTGGCTGCTGTGCGGCACTTTACCGATGAGCTGCCACCGCCGCCGGCTCCCACCCACCAGTCGGCCAGTTTTGCGGAGGGCTTGCCCGGACCACCGGTGGTACCGCCACATCGGGTGACTGGCGGTCACTCGGCCAACACCATGAAGTCCTGGAGCATCGATTCGCAGTATCGCAAACGATCGCCCAAGCTCTTTGGACACTATAGTAGCGGTGGCGGTGGCAGCGGGATAACCACCCCAACTGGCCTGGGGCCCATGCCGCCGCTACCCCCTCCCCCCGTCGATGGAATGGCCTGTGGATCCGGGTCGTACCAGAGGCGATACATCAATTACGGCACCAAGCGCAGCCTGAAGCAGTCGCCGCGCGAGGAGCATCGCCTGCAAACCTCATGTAGTCTTCCTGAAACGCCAATTTTTGCCAGAGGGTACAGTATATATATTATATCATTATGTCTAAAAATTAATTCTAATTTAATTGTTTTTTTTTTATTTAGCTGTGACATACCACGTACGCCATATCGACGCCAAAACGAACCGCTGCCTGTGGTTAGCGGTGTGCGCACAGCGCCCAGATCGAGCACATCGAATAGCATCAATATGGGCACATCCATTATGGGTATAGGAGGTGAGTTATGCCCGAAATGGCCATGAAATAGCTAATGCAAATTCTAAGATACTAATCTTAATTGATTTCTTATAGCTGGAAACTATGGAACTGCCCAAATCTGTCGCCAGCGTTCGATCAACCATGCCTTGGCCTCCAACGAAATGCTACGGATGACCGGAGCCCCTGCCCGTGGCTGGTATCCCAAACAGAGGGGTATGCGTCCGGCTTCAACCGAGAACATCGATCGATTGGCTTCCGTTCGAGTGTGGGACAATCCGGCCGGCATGTCCGGCACAGGACAATCCCGTAAGCCGCTCACATTGCCGCCAAATCTAACACCTTCCTTTTTAAATAAGTCACCGCGAGAGGCACTGCGACGAGTAACCAGTCTACTGATTACCAAAAAAAGTAGGCTTTTAAATAATTTTAAATATATATTAAACTAAATTAAAATTAATTTTTAATCAGAGAACAACAAGGAGCGAAAGCACAAGGCCTATTGCGATCAGCCCATGGATGACAGCAACAGCAAGCATGCCTACGAATTCGAAACAGGTTGGGATTAGGGACAATAAACCATATTTTAAATACTAATTTGTCTCTATTTGTCTCCTTTAAGGATCCACCAAGCGAAAGGATAGCAGTCGCAAGGATAATGGAGCCACTGGCGGAGCTACCACCACCACCACCACCACTAAAACCAAGAAGAAGGGTCTCTTCAAATCCTTCTGGAAACGCACGAAAACCGCCTCGCTGGATCAATAGAGAAACTTCGTACGGCAAGCCAGAGTACTGTCCCATTTTTACGTTCACCAAAACCAATGCATATGGATATAGCATCGAAAACGATTATAACCCGAAGCACATTAAACCACACACACCCCACAGAACGTGGGTGCACCTGCTCATCCTGATCAGCAAGCAAGTCTTTCTCACGCTCGTGTTAGTTTGGACCTTGGACACAATTGAAGCAATTTTGTATACACATCGTATCGTATATATCGGTCATATATAGTAATGAGTAAAAATGAATAATTCAAATGCACAAAAGCCGTGAATCGTAAAGACTGAAAAATGAATAAACAAAAAAAAAAAAGAAAAAAGCGTAAAACAAAGGAAAATGTTAACGTAAACGAAAATATTATGGAAACAATGAAATTTAAATTGAAAAACATATGCAAGCGGTATTACACATTCACAAACAAGCAGCTAGTTGGATCGCGCGGCTATATACACATGAATATATACACAAGTGCGATCCTACCCCCCACCCCAGACCTTGATCTTGCCAAAATCGAAAATGAATTAATTCAAATAATGGCCATAACCCAAATAAGCACGCAACGATGGGCTAAGAAAGAAATTTACAATTTATACAAGCACTGAATTTATATATACGTATATGGGTATGATCGCTATATACATAGTTTGGACTATAACTGAGCCGATAGGGCCCTAGACACCTTTACTTACTTTACGACGATGACGATGCGTTTGATACTTTGAGCTCTTTTTGGTGAGAAATTACTAACTAGATACATATGTTATTGAAATCAGTTCTTGTTGAGATTGGCAGGCCGTTTTGGGGAGCTAGGAGTAGGCAGGCAGGCAGGTAGGTGTACGGGCAGGTTGCAATTAGAAAGAAGGGGGTTTTCCAATCCAGATGGATCCCAGCCTGCCAATACAATAATAAGGAACAAGATACTTAAAGATACCACAAGTATAATACGCATTTAATTTCCAAACAACTGAAAAAGAATGAAGTTAAGCCCTCCACATTTCAAAGAATGTTTGATAATAATAACGAACTCGAAATTAATAAAGATAAACCCATGATCCAGTAGTGCTCAATACGATTTTTACCAGAGAAAGCATTTCTCAAAAATTTTGAGAAAAAAACACAATTTTTGGCTAGTTGGAAGATAAAACTGCAATAAGAGACAACAACAACAACAAAACCGTAAACGTTTACTAGTCATTAAATATTAAAAAAAAAATTAAACTGAAAGCATATATATAGATATAGATATATATGGGAGATAACATATTTTTTATTAACACTCACTGAGAAGCCAACAATGAATGAATGAATATAGTTTGGCAGCATTTTATGAACAGGAGAGCTGGCCCCCCCTTCCCCCCACAGAGCAAGTTGAAAGTATTATTAACGAATTATATTATATGCTATAGCAAGTTGGTATTTATTATAATTATGATATATGTACATTTATTTGAATTAACATTACTGAATATATTTTTTAGAAAAGTAGCTTGAAACGGAATAAAATGATTCAAAAACAGATATAATCCATGGCCCTTGTGTACTTTTTATATAGATATTATCTATGATGACAGGAAATGATCTTAAACAGAACAAAAAAACTACATAATAACTGGGATTCGTAAAAAATATACAAAAGTATTTTTATTTTTTAACATTCGAGAAGTGAATTTTAATTTAGGCCAGTAATGAAGCTAGTAACTACACTCAACTATAATCTGTTTTCTCACCTATCTAAAAAAAAGAAAAAGTCGCGCAATTTCGGAAAAATATTCCCAGTAATTAAATTATTCAAATTCCAATTTTCAAATGACAAATTACAATAACAATGATGACAGATAAACGAAAAGAAAATTAAATATTAAAGTCACATCATAGCAAACACACGCAACTGCAAAATGGAAAAAGATACAAACGTATATAATTTTTTTAAATAAAAACAAAACAGAAAATAAATAATTTTTAGTATTGAAATTTAACAATTGTATATGAAAGGGTAAATGAAATGAAATAAAAAGAATAGCATGGAATTCATTTTGAAAAATTATTAAAAAACCAAACCTTTTATTGCAACTTCTAAAATACCATATTTTTCAACCATTTATAGTTTTGAAAAAAAAGAAAACAGTTTAGAATTTTAATTTGTAAGAATTCTTTAGCAGAATATTGGCTATTTGTGTGTTTTATTATACATTCTCCAGGGATTCTGCTTTGTGCGTGTGCGCATAAAACCAGATAAATATACACATTACACAAAAGGAATATATCTACAAAGATAATGGACGCACGCATTAAATCAAAACGGGGAAACTAACTAAACTAAATTAAAAGTATCAGTAACAGCGTTCGTTCGACACACATCTTCCATCATTACAGATCGAGAAAATCATTTCTTTATCTTTAATTTAAGGATATTTTTGTTTCAAGTTTTAACACTCAGATTTGAATATTTTTTTTGTTTTGTGTGAAATCCTGTCTATTTATGAGTTTGCTTTAAACGATAGATAATAAGCCGGCTTGATTAACAATTATTCTTTGTATTTGTATGGGGGGTTTTCTTTATGTGGTCTTGGGGGATTTCATTAATTGTTTATATTAAATAATCTCTGCCGCAGTCTAAGCCATGTAGCTGTATTCATCGCCAGAATTCGCAGTTCGCTCGATATATTGTTTGTCAATTAACGATTCCACGCATTTCTTGATCATTGCTATGTTGGGCGTAAAGCTAACCTTTGATAATGAGAGAACCTACCGGAAACAGGACAATTAATTTATAATTTAATGAAAAGTTTTAATAAAATATTACCTCCTGTATTAGGGCATTGTGCTTCAAGACTTTGCGCGATTTCATTATTCTTACGATAGCAGCTTGCAGGAACAATTTTCGATCTTCGTCCACTGAATTGATAGTGTGCTCCACCTCCTGGGGGGTCTCCTTTTGCAGTGCCGAGCTAATTTTAAACTTTGTACGCTTATTTGTGTAATCCAAATTCAATTCAATTCGAGTCTCCCCGGCGAGATTCTCTGAGCTGGCATTCAACAGCTTCGACTCGATCATTGGCTGCATATGCTTCTGAAACGTTTCGTCATTCAGCTGGAGCGTATTCTGGATTTCCCGACAACTAAGGCTGTCACAAGTTTCGAATAACAGAATTATCGCCATCTGGTACGTTTGCATCGTGACGATATATGACTTTTTCAAATGACTCAGCTTGAGCTCGCCATGGCACATGTGATGCAACCAGGTTAGCTTGCGACCACTAAACAACTTATGGTAATAATCCTCAAACTGCAAAGATATTAACTAATAAGTCACTGGATTTTAAGAGATATAATATACAACCCACCATTTTAATCGATTTCTCAAACTCTTGGGGCACTGCGAATGGTATAACTTGCGTTGATCCCAAGGGCCAGGCTCCCGCTTGCAGAACCTTAATCGAAAGATTGATGCCTAAGGGAATAAAATAATACTTTAATTAAGAAGTTATTAAGAATATGAATGATTGTTAGACTTACCCAAATCCACATTGTTGTCCTTTAAGTGAGTATTAAACTTATTGTTCAAATCTGTCGATACCGAAATGTCCGTAAACATGCGATGCAGTTTATTTGTAAATTCGTAGCCACAGGCTTGCTGCGAAGAGATACGATTAGGAAATCAGCAATTTTTTAAATAAAAAAGGGACTAGGTCTTTGTTGATAAAGAGCAGTTATCAGAAAACACCTAGCACCTAATGAAAAATACGAAAATTTCAAGTATAAATCATATTAAGCTATCAAAGTCAAATGTTTATTAAGTCAATTAGGAAAGGTCAGTGCTCCCAGTTATCAAGTTCATTATGAAATAGATTATTTTATCTGTACGGGATTATCTTTCATTTGAATTACTTCTCCATTATCACCATAGTTTTCCAATCTTGATGTAGAGGGGGTGTAGAGACGGAACCCAGGTCACTTACCTTTAAGCGATTGATCATTCCCTCCTCCGCGTCCATGCTCTGGCTCTGTTCGTGAATAAGTCGCTTTGCCAGCAAACGACTATAAAATTTCTGGTACACATCCTTGTCCTCTATGTACTTGAAGATGGTTATGTTGTTGGTTAGCTTCTGGTCGATCTCCGCCTCGCATGTCTTCGACTTCTTCAGAAGCGTATCACAGTACTTGGCGACGTATTCGGCACTGCGACACGGCTGCCGTTCGGTGGGGCGACGGTTGATCACGCTGGCGCAAGCCTTGTCCAGGGCGCTGAGGAAGAGCGAATCGTTCTCGAACACATCGGCGATGAGCTCCTGGTACTTTTGATGCACTTTCAACATGTTCTCGACGAAAGCAATGTGGATATTTTCACCCTTAAGCGAGGACACTGTGGCCAAGCCCTCGCTCTTGATGTGTTCCAGGAACGTGGTGATTAGCTCGCTCTTTAAAGTGTCGGGTATGGGCTTGAGCACGATGTACATGTTTCGGAGATCCTGGCGCCGCTCCTGCGACACCATTTCGCTGCATTCGGAGTAAATGAAGCCCAGCCGGTCATTGATGAACTTCTCCTCGCACTGTTTTCGCAGCTTTGGCAGGGAACTGACATGCAGAAACTTTTGAGCACGCCGACTTTCGTACTCCAATATTCGGATCACCTCCTGCATGTACTCGGACACGGAGCAGCGCTGTAGCAGCTTATTGGCTTCGTCGGTGTAGTAAGCGCCGCTCGCCTCCAGCATGGGACCTTCGAAGAGCTCCTGGTAGAGTTTTAGGGAGCCCGCCTTCTTGTAGTCCTGCACCTCCACGAAGCTGTGGATCACTCCGTTGATAATTTGCACGCGGTGGTGGTCCAGGCTACCGTTGCTGGCTCTATCGGCGGCGATGCCCTCGAGAATATGGCGAACCAGTTCGCTGGCAAGATACTCGACCATGTACAGCCGCCAGATGTCAAGGCCCAGCTCACCGATCTCCATTTGCTCGGCGGCGTCGCTGGAGAGGTTGCCGTAGAAGGACTCTGTGTCAGTGATCTTCTGCTTCTTAATGTGTTGCTGGTTCAGATAGCTAAAGATATTTCAAAGATACAATTTTTAATAAAAGTTTCTAATTAATTAGATAGACTGCTTACATGTACAACTGGTGTAGGTACTTGATGCCCTGGCTGTATTCCATCCAGGTGGTGTAGTACCTTTGCAGCAGGTCTGGCCTGCCCTCCTCGTCCGTGAGTACCTTCTTTGTCAACATCTCCTGGACGTGCTGCTCGAGGAAGTGCTTTGTTTCGCTGTAGAGCCGGTCAGCCATAGGTTCCGGCTGCGCCACGCATAGCGTGTAAACATCGCTGTTTTTGGTAGATGATTGGAAACGGCATTGTGTTAGTGCGTGTTTTTTTTTTAGCAATTTGATTTTGGCAACTCACGCTGCACACATACATTCATCAATAGAAAACAGCAGCGGCGGATAATATAGCACAAGCACAATTTTATGATCAATAAACGAAAGCCCAGTGAAACAAAGTCTAGGGGTCTAGTATAGTTTGTTGTTACTATTCTATACTATGGGAAAGCCTTAAAAGCATTGCAGTTATCTAGATGATTTGAAAAATACTTAGTAATCAAAAAGTCAACATGTATTACCTATCAATTGAGATTATCTGTAGCTATAATATGCATAGAGATTACAATATTTCTGCAATTCATTGATGACTTTTGAAGTGCTTTATTTTATATCGGCTGCTGCAGGACCTTAGTTTATCCTAATGAGACTAATAAGGATATTTTATTGATTAAACCATGATGGAGAATTCTTATTGAAACAACAAAAGGTTGACAATATAAGAAGGATAATGTACGATCTTCTTAAAGATCCTGGAAATTATATATTTTCCTGATCATCATGCCAGTGGGACTGACTCTATCAAAAGGTTGATCTCATTAGCTCACGTGACTTGGCCCTATCTAGTGATTAGAGGTGCTATTGTTTCCACCGCTGCTGTTAAGTCACTGGACACCTTCATTGACATATTCACCTGAAGCTTGTGTTCCACACTGACCGCTCCACTTTGGTTAGTGTTATCACCGACTCGGCAATGCAGCGCAGGCGCGGCCAGACGTCCACAAACTCCACTATTTTCGGCTTGAGCGACATCTCGACTGGGTCTGGGGGTCCTGGGTCCGTCTGGAGTGGATGTGGTTGTGGGCGGCTGTTGGTCGAACAGATATGAACGTGCGGGAGACCGAAAGGAAACGATCCGGATTAATGTTTGGTTAATTATAACAATGGCAACAACAATAACAACGGCAACGTTAACAGGCAAACGACCCTCAACGTCGACAGAGGTGCCTGATTTTTTGGTTTTGGCATAATCGAGTAGCTCGCTCGCTCACTTTTTGCGTGGGGGCCGCAGCTCGGTGGCCTTGCCCTCGGCCAGTTTCACAGCTGACCAGTTGCACGGCAAAGAGGGGTTCGCGGGGATAAACGAGGCTACTCACCTTATGCTTAACTACGCTATTTACTTATTAATTACGCCGAGAATTTAGATTTTTTGCAGTTTTTTTTTTTTTTTGCTATCGAAAAATGGGTCGACGATAACGATAAGCGCTACCAGGGTTGCTTAATCCCCGAAAAATTATCTGTTCCCACTGCTGCCACCAGCTGTTCAAATTAAAAAAAGTTTTACTTTCTTTATTTTTAATGGTTTTTATAGTTTGCTTGGGATAAAAAAAGTTTACGGACACTTAATTTATTATTAGTATTAATTGGTTATATTTACTAATATTTCCTTGCACTTGCTCACACTTGCGTTTTTTTGCTCACAAATGCGTTAATGCAACTCCAGTTTGGCGCGTAAGTTTGAATTATCTCAAATTTTAGTCAAAAATCTTTAATATATTTCAAAATTATAATGCAATTGCAATATAAGCCCATTATCAAAAAAAACGACATTTATTTTATTTATTATTATTTATTTATTTATTTTACTATAATTTGCTAATTGTTTGGTATGTTTTGGTTTTTTATTGAGTTTTTTTTTGGCTTACATTTATTTTTTTTAGAAATTATAGAAAATTGCAAATGCTTAATGTATTTTATGGCCATAGCTTAAAACACAACATCTAACAGGTATTGACAAAATTTAAAGCATTTCCCTAAAATTCTTGAATAAAATAATTTTAGTAAAAATCTGTTAAGTGTGTTTTAGTTAACCAGTGGATGGTAATAGGAAATTCTTCAAGCTAACCCAATCATTGATTCAGTTTTTCTCGTCTTGATTGTCATGCTTTTAGCCATCGAAAAAAAAGGAAACTTGTCGAGGGAAGAGACAGGTGGTATACGCATAAATACCGATTTTAGCTAGATTTTTCATTAATCATTTATACTTTCTATGTAAGTTCGTTTGTTGTTTGCTAATTCGTTGAAATTTTCTAATAAGCATGCGATGCAGTATATATATGAGAATATATATTGTTTACATCTATTTAATATATGTATATATATGTATATATAAAGGTGTACATATATTTCTAGACCAATACCCAGGATATTCTATTACTTTAGTGACTGACATCTATTGCATTTAATATATTTCGATATTTAATTTAACTAATTTTTTATAGTTAGTTTTGTTTGCTTTTTGGACTTGCTTGTGGGCTGCATTTGTTTGTGGTGGGATTCGGATTCTCAACTGATGTTCTATTATGTAACCGTGTTTCTTCAGGACTTGGCGTTTGTTTTATAAATATTCTCTAATTTATGCGCATATTCATATTTTACACATTTAGATGCAAAATGGTTGATTCAGTTGTCCTACTCAACTACACACCGATTATTTCGATAAAGCAAAGTGGTTCTCTTATATATTACAGTTCATGGGAAAAGGATAACAATTTTGTTTCAAACAAAAACCGATTCACAATAATTAAAATACTTAATCGTAGTCGAATATACTTTAAAGTTAAATATATTTCTTCGTCTTAGGTACACAGTTTACAAACTTTTGGAAAGCAAATGTATAAGATTAACTAAATCTGAATTTTGGTTTTTTTTTCTTCTTGTTTTAGAAATTGCTGCTCAGGGCATAGAATATCACACGAATACTGAGGCAAACCCAAATATATAGCAAGTATAACAGTAACAGTTAACTTTTGTTCCACTAACTCAAGCACTCATCCAAAACTCACTCATACACCCACTCTCTCAGACCGAATCAAAGATGCATTCTCACAATAACTCAGAAGCTAATTAAAAGCAAATTTTTAGCAAATTACTCTAGCAAGGATTGGGATTCCCCCACTTGGCCAGCACAGCCGTTGCCCAGACTCGATTCCTGGGCGATGCCCTCGCTCTCCGCCGGCGCATCCTGCGTCTTCACTTTCAGCAGGGGCGTCTTGATGTCGGAGGCCTCCAGTTCGGTGGTGGATTCCAGAGTCGTCGATTCTGGGCCATGCAGCTCTATGGGTGTTGGCGCAGCGGGTTCTGCGTTTGGCTGGGATTTACCCTTCAGGAGAGAAAGCTTGTTAGTCCTCGTGGTTCAGGAAGACTAATATAAGTCATACTAACCTGCAAGTAGTAGGTCATCAACTGGCCTTTTCCTTTGACTGCCACAAGACCGCGTTGCTGGAAGGTGTAGCCGAACTCTTGAAGGATGTTGCATGTCTCCTCGGTGACCTGAATGGCTCCTGCCTTGCCGGTGCTCTCCATGCGGGAAGCCACGTTGACGGTGTTACCCCAGATATCGTAGTGTGGCTTTCGGGCACCAATAACGCCCGCCGTTATCGGACCATGATTGATGCCCATCTTGAGGACGAAGTGATTGAACGACTGCTCGTTAATGCCCTGCAGGGCGTGCTTCAGTTCCAGGGCGAACTCCACCAGGACGGCCAGGTGGGACCAGCGTTCGGTGATGGGAGCGTCATTGCGGAGGTTACGCTGCAGATTGATGCCACTGGCGGCCATGTAGGTTGAGCCAATTGTCTTAATTTTGATAATGTCCTGGAACTGAGGGAGTTCCAACAACTAAAAGAAGGATTTCATATTTTATTCATATTTTTATAATGAGAATTGAATGCCTACCGCATCAAAATCGGAGATAACTTCATTCAGAAATCGCAAACACTCCAGACCTTGATTGTTAACCGTCTCTTCTGAATAAAAGTCTAAAAATTAATTAAGATTATTGACATGTTTAAAGCCACAATAGATTTTTTCATCAAATTACCCGAAAAGTTAGGCATACTGGCAAATAGAACCCCCACTTCGGCATAGCTCTGGGAATAGAGATCGTCGTGGGAGCGTTTGGTGTTCTTCATGAAGTGCTCTGCCACATGAACCGGCAGGACATTGTAGACCAAAGCCTCATTCCGCTGTCGCATATCGTTGGCAGTCTCCTTTTGCTCGGCCACCTCGGTCTTCCATTTGAAAATCACCCGATCCTCGTGATCCATCTAGAGATATGTATGTATTTATAAGGATAAGACTTCGAGAGGTATGGAATATAATGCTTACATGTCTGGCTAATGTGCTTAGTGCCAAAGCTGCCACTATTAAGAGTCCAGAAGCGCAATAACGTGTTGATATGAGGCTGGGAATAAATAAATTCAATAAATAAATCCATAAACTTAAGACTTTAAACCCTTACGGTTGGTGTGATAAATCATCTTCTAAGGAATACAGATCCTGCATAATGAATATATTGAAGTAGCAATGCAGGGCTTTTCGAAGTAAAAGGTATAATTAGAATACATAAAATAGTCTATTGTTTAAAAAAAGTCACCTGCAATGGATAGAAGCAACAAAATCTTTGTAAGATGCGTGAGCTGGGCAATTACGGCAATCGCAATCAATATGAGGATTCCGAAATTACTCAAGTAGGACGGATATAGGACACGTTCTGTGGGGACTGCCTCGCGCATTTGCTCCACAAACGATGCGGGCAGCAGGTGCTCGGCTGTGACCACCCCTGAATCCTCCACGTCCTCCACATCGCCCTCCAGGCCGGCCGTGGCATTGAATTCGCTTTCGCTCACAATGTGCTCGGTGCGCACGAAGGTGACGAAGAAGAACTGTCAAGGAAATGTAGGGAAATCAATGGCAGGACTTGAGCACGTCCCTGTCACACTTAAAATTCAAATCGCACTAAAGTCTGTCAAAATATTTTGGAAAGCACGCAAACGAAAGAAATTCCATGTATATTTCTTTTGTAAAATGGACGTTTTTTTCTGTGTGCTTTACAAAACTTTGACAACAACTTGAACTTACCATGTCGACAACGTTGCTCAGACCAATGGTTAGGGCTATGATTATAGCGGCCAGCTCCCGCACGAAGGTAATGTCATTGAATCTCTTGCTCACATCGACAAAGAACTTGGGAAGCATTCCGCTGAAGCTCTCGGCTATGCTGATGACCACCAGCATAGCGATGGGAACCAGAGGCGCAGCGATGTTAATAAAGTGGAGCGTGGACCGGGGAAGCACCAGGTAGGAGTACAGGACATCAATGCACTGGACCAACAGAGCGGCCAGCAACGGCAGGGAACTGTACGGCTCCCTGTAAACGGCATACGACTGCTCCAGTTGGGGATTCTTGAAGCGTAGGAATACATTTGTGTCCTTGATGAGGTTCCTTTAAAGTGGAGGTTATTGGGTTATTATAATATTTAATCTTATGAGGTTAATACTAACTCATGTCCATCACGAGTCACTAGTTCGTCTTTCAAGCGTTGCTTAAAGTTCTCAAGCTTGACCTGCTCCTCCTCGTCCTCCTCGCCGGGTGTTTGATGGCCGTTGGACACGACAGTCTGGGCCAAGAGCTCCTCATCGTCCAGGCCGTCGTTGTCATCCGCGCCGGTTATGGCTTCGTTGGTTGAACCATTTGGACTGGTATGGTTGTTTTCCGCTTGAGTTTCGTTGATTTTCTTGGCACACGGCGAGGCAAACTGGTAAAGGATATAAGTGTCAATAAAATTGGGCCAACATTTTCTTACAAAAAAAAAAAAAAAATAGTAAAGTAGTTCAACTGAATTTCCATAAAGGTAAATTGCTGTCCATAAAGTAGACAATATAAACAGTTTTTAGTTCCTTTCTTATGACCCGATTAATTTGTTGCTAACCCGAAAACGGATATTTTTATGACCCCCCCCACTTACCGGCTTCACCACCTTGGTGATGAAATAGGTCTTCAGTCCGGCAATCCGTAGCAGCTCCTCCCGTTTCTCTCCAAAGGCGGGCTCCACCTCGAACTCGCCGTTGAGGAAGGCCAGTGTTTTATCCGAAATATGGACACGTCTAATTAAACCAAAAAATATTTAGAAATTTTTATTAGTACATATGTATGTAAAACCAGAAATATTTGACAAATCAGGAATCAGGGACATTGCCTCCTGTCGACAATTGCCCCGCGGGGCTGGAAAGATAAAGACCGGAGTGCAAACACCAGGCCATAAATTTGCATGCCAAAGTGACAAAGTCAAATCATAATAAGCACTTGCCACACAACTGACAACGACGACCACGATGGCCGTTATCAATTATGCAACAGTGGGAGTAACGTGACAGTCGTTAAAACCCACCCAAACCCACTCACCCAGCCTTGCCGCTCGATTCCATTTTATTAGCCAACTCGACGTCCTTGGAGTAGACGTCAAACTGCCACTGCCTCTGGCCGAGAATGCCGGCTAGGACTGCTCCCGTGTGTATGCCCACACGCATATCAACAGGTGAGTTGGCCTTCTGCTGCACATACCTGAAAGGTGGAATGGGGAAAGGAGTGAGGACGGTTGGCACGCAACATGGTCAGGTTAGTGGCGCCTGAAAGTATGCTCAACAAACGGAAAGGAAAGGGCTGTTCGACCAAGGAGCCAAAGGACCACGCTCGCGCGTGGTTAAGTGCAATTATTATTAATTGAACAAACGTTGATTTGACGCCGCCTGTCGCCTCTTGACTCTCAACTGTCGCCTGTCGACTGTCGGTTGTCCTGGGTCGCTTTAGCCCTTGCCTTGCCATGCCTGTCGAGTTGTTTTCCTTTGGGAACTGGGCTTAAACGCTACTCACTTGATGGCCTTCACCATGGAGAGTCCCATGTGCACGCACATGACGGCGTGATCCGGTCGCTCGTCGGGGGCACCGCTAATGCAATAATAGCAATCGCCAAGAATCTTGATGCGCAATTGTTGATATTTCTAGGAGGGGGAGACCATATTTGATTAACTCTCGGAATCATGGCAAACAATTGCAGTTATTTGAAAAACAAATAAAAAAAATAATATAAAAAAATTCTGTAAAATATTGAATAACTTGAGGTTTCTTCTTGAAACTAAAATCATTATTATAATGGCTATACTATTTACAAAATAAGGCCTTAAACAAGAACAAGAACCAACTAGGCAACGCTCAGTTAGTTATTGCGGTTAGCGTGATGATCGATTAAAATGACTTAAAAAAAAAAAATATGCCATAAATAAACAAACTTGACCAACTTAAGACATGGCCCACAACACACAACACAGCCCCAAAAAATCATCATTCACTTTCCATTCCACCCACAAAACCAAACAAATGAAGTGAAAAAACAATACCCCTCCCCTCTTTGGGGAAAATCGGTGAAAGGATAACGACACACACACATACTGAGACACACATCCCATGCGACCAAGCCCCATGAAAATCACAGTGAAATTAACTGAACCCCAAAAATAAACCATGAAACCTTCTTCGGCACTCAAAATAACTGCTAAAAATTCGCTCGCAAAAGGAAAAAATCAACTCGAAACATTATATACGCCTGACTGGACATAACTTTTGTTGGTCATTCGCCCTGGAGCCCATCCCCCCACTCGGGAACTCACCCGCATAATCCACAAAAGCAAATGAAAAATAAAATGCCAAAAAAATAAGAAAAACTTAAACCGAAATGAAAAGAAAAAATTCAAATTAAAGTGGAAAGACACTCGAGAAGAGGAAATGAAATCTCGACCATAGATGGGGTATCTTAAACATCATAATCATCATTAAGAGAAAATTCTACGACCTGTCTGCCACACCCCCTGCCCCCTCGGACAGGTGAATGAACAGCTGGATTAAAACCAACAAAATAAAACAAAAAAAAATAAGAAAGAAAACAATGAAAAATATAGGAGAGAAAAACACGAGAAAATGTTACCTCGGCGAGCCTATCGAAGCGTGCAAAGAGCTCGTTAAGCATTTTAACCAAATCTTGGGCGCTATATGTCGAGGAGATGGCTGTGAAGCCAACGATATCCGCATAGAGTATGCTTGTTTTCACGAAATAAAAATTGAGGAAATTCCGGAATTTTATGGTTAAACAAGTGGCAGTACAACACTATTTTATTTAAATATTAACACCTAGAAGTATGCAACATTAAATGGAAGCCAGGAAGGACTCGGATAAGGTAACCAGGAAATATTAAGGATATTAAATGTTTCCAACTGGAGTACAGCTATATAACACCTATAGGGTTAAAAATGTATTATAGACTTACCTCACATTTTCGTGCCGACTCATGTAAATCTTTTTGAAAGCCTCAGAACTAGAAGAGCCCAAGTCTTCTCGCATTTTTATAGCCACATGTTTTGGCAGCACCGACAGCAGCAAGCGCTCCTATTTTCAAAAATTAAATTAATATCTGAAAATATTAAATACCTTGACAAATAGATTCACCTGCTCAGCCGACTGTTCCTCGATAACCATTTTCACCTCAAGGCTCTTTTTGGCCTCCAGGAAAGCCCGCTTCTGCTTGGCCTCGCCCATAAAATAGTAGAGGAGTCCGATCAGGGCAGCGGTGGCTATAAGGACCGCATTGGCCGCCACCTGATTCGAGAGCATCGGATCCTGGCGAGAGTACGCCACGGGCAGGCTGAGGCATATCAAATAGGAGCAGCAGCCAATCGACAATCCGAGAAATATCAAAGGCAGCGGTAGGGTTACATAGACCAAGAAGTTAAGTAGAATAGCCCAGCCAAGCACATCTCTGAAATTAAAAATATTAATTCGTTTTTATGGTTTTATTATAAGAATATTAAATCAACAGAAGGACTATTTTCAGACTCACCTAGGCGAGAAACTTGGTTGCAGGATAACATATGCCACAAAGTGTAGAATGCTTAGTAGCCACAAGGTCCGAGGAATTATCGTCAGTAGTATCTCATGCAACCGTTTTAATGTTGGCTTCTCCGAGCCACGTCCGATGTGAAGCAGACCCGTTAAAGCCAAATAAGCCAGCAGCATGCAACAGTTTACCACTAAAATGTTTAATATTATTATAAAAATTATCTAATTCATGTCTAAGTATTTAATCAAAAGTTTAATTCCTTTGTGTTAAATTTATGGCAATGACTACGGGAGTTTAATGCCGCAACAAAATTGTGTGTGTGTGTTTGTTCCATAAGCCATTAAATGGAAATTGTTGTCTTATCACCGCAAAGCCATCAAAATCAATTAATACCTCTAATGGAATTTTGTTTTGTATACTCTTAGAGCACTATGTAGCATATTGTTATACATTGTTTCCGATATACAGTATGCAGTTAGATACAGTCATTAAATAAAAATACACCAGAGGTTTTATACAGAGCCTTTCAGTCTATATTACGTATACGTATTAAAGATTTATACTTTTGCAGGGCCTTTAGAGCGATCTTATGTTTTCTTATTAATATTTTGAATAAAATTTAATATTTTTAATATTTTTTTATTTAATATTTTTAATATTTTTTTAAAATCTTATTAATAGTAAACTAAGTCATATTTTAAAGTCAACTCACCTCTTGTGGCCACTTCCTGATCCCAGGGGATAATAATAGTCCAGATGTTGAAAAGTACGGCCGCGAACAGGAACCACTTAAGACCGCTGCGTCGCTGCTTGATGGAGTAGTTGTGGTATAGTTCGTTGAGCACATGCTGTGGCAGGATCACGACTCCACCGCCTGTGATGCCCACACCACCGGCCACCACATCACTGTCATTGGGTCGTCGGCGGGCGGGCGGTGTCTTCTGGCGCTGGGGCTGGGGTTTTGTTTTTGTGGGCGTCGAGTTGGCCGCCGCCGCCGCCGCCTGGCCATTCTCCAGGCTGGTGCCTTTTTCCTCCTTTTCCGGCATGCTTCCAGGCGACTGCTGGTATTTCGGCTCCTTCTCGTCGTTTGGGGTTCCTTGGGATTCTGTTTAATTATTCGTTGATCGGCGACCTCTGGCAGGCCTGGTTTATGAATGAAGCGAAGCCATTTCCTTGCCTTATTTATTTATGATGTTGGGGCGGGGGGTGGTCTGGAAACTGGGAGACGACGCTTGGGTAAATAGAAGCAATGCGAAGCACAAACTCAAACACAAGAAGCACAAGCAGAAACAAGTGAAAATACAAACTCGCGTTAACGGTAAATTTGAGACTTAGCGCTGCCTCGTGGCGCCCCATCCCTTTTGCCTTGATGGAGCAAGACGGAAGCGTCCTTGCGCGAGAGCCGTGAGAGTGGCTCTGCATGTGTCTGTGTGTGTGTGTTTATCTGTTGGTGGATACCGTACAGTGGTTTTGCTTTGAAAATAATATTAACAGAAAAAAAAATATTCCTATATAAAATAAAATACTATACCAGCTAGGTCAACTAATCTATTTCATGCGATAAGGTCGGAATCACATATATTTTATTCGAATTCCCTGTATTAAGATAAGAGATGCCTGAAAAGTGCCCACCTTCTTATCATTGCCACACTTTGTTAATAAGTACATACAAATGTACATATATATTAAAAACACTTCCCGTGGGGCTAGGCCCACAGATAACCCAGGTATTTTAATTATTTGATTAAATATTTTTCACATATTATTCTTTCTAAACATTTAACCTACAAACCAAAAGAGTAGTTCTACTAAAGAGTATTTTGACATCCCTTCAACCACAATATCCTGTATGCAATTTTCGGCTCTTCCGCTTAACGAATGTAGAGAGCCAATTTCCGTTTAATGTTAATTAGGCCAAATTGGCTTTTCTATTTTCGGGCCAAATTGAAATTGACTTGTCAAAATTTTATGCGGGCATCCTTTACCATCCATACCCCGTCCCCTTTGCCCACTAACTGAATAAATTATGAATATTTTCTACCGCATTTGACACCCACACAGACCACGGTACTCGGTGAATCTCACCCGCTCTCTCTCTCTCTCTCTGTCGCTCATTCTCCCCACTTTCTCTCGGGTGGCGCCCCCTCGGCCGCCCACCGCCCGCTTCCTCCTTATTTGACTGTCGTTTCCCCATTGCCGAATATTCGACTGACTGACGGACTGTGTAACATAGCGTTGCTTCTTACTTTTTCCTTACAAAAAAAATCCTTTTTACGTCTAGGTATGCGCGTACATGTGTTGGCCGTGTTTGTACGGGTAAGGTTGATTTGCCCAAGGTTCGTTTTAATGCGTTCTGATTTTGTTTGTATAGCTGAACGCGGGTGTGTATGTGTGTACACTTTTAATACTGCACTGCAGACGGGTTTTCGATTTTAATTTTAATCCGAATAATTGACGCCTCCTTCGGGGGATATACATATAAGCCCCGAGACCCTCTCCTCCCTCCCGTTATTTAGTCCTTTTTTTTTGGAGGCTGCGATAACCGTTAGGCACGTACAGTTGCTCTTTTTCCGCCTTTGGCCATGTTAAGTTCACTATTTTTCACACTTTTATGGCAAAACTTTGATGTTTAATGAACATACTTTTGTTCTAAAGCCAGTAGTTATCCTTATTCGTTGTGTCCTGCTGTACTGCTGCTGCTGCTGCTGCCTCTTCAGCTGCCTGGCGATGTTCCACGCTTGGCGCCGCGCGATTTTCTTCTTCGACTAAACTAAGGCGCCCGATAAACTTGACTGATTGTTAAGTGAAAATTTTCGACAGTCAACAAGCCCCAGCAGCACCAGCAAGGACTTCCGTTGTTTCACGCGAGCGAAGGCTCTCAGCGGGAGAGAGCTTTGCAAAGGAAGAAAGCTTGGGAGAGCGCATGTCCGCCGCTGATAACGGTACAGCTGGGCAGTATGATAACGCGCCATGCATCTGCCCCCTGCATAATCACTCGAATATTGCCGCAAGCGCATAAAGTTAATTAGACAGCCGCATTAATGCCTCTTACTAAATGGCAATTAAATGGAAAAACAAGAGGAAGAGCATCGGATGTTGCAGCTGGCCTTGGGTTGGCATTGAAAAAGGTGCAGCTGCCTAGGTCGCCAATGTGTGATACGCCATGTGCTTGTGTGTGTTCCTGCCGTCGACTACAGAAGTAAAGGAAATGCACAATGAAACGGAAGACGTTTTGTTTCCTTAAAACGGGGGTGATGCCTCCATGAACAAATGGCCCAGAAGCAGCCGGAGAAAGTTGTTTCTTAAAATTATATGGAACTAATGTAAATTATTACAGTTCATTAAAGGGGAAGGATTTGACTATAAAAGAGGAAGAATAATAGCTAAAGGGTTTAAAATAAAAAAATGTAGATAATATCAAGGATTTATTTCTTCATAGCACAATTTTTAAAATTTTATTTTTATTATAATTTTAAAACAGAAATTGACAGAGGGAGGGTTGGTACAAACTGAAATCATGATAGCAACCCCTTAAAGTTACTATTTTTTGGTACTTTCATGGATTAGATGTGTCAAAACAGGACGTTATTAAAAAGCCCAATAAACTGAATTTTATATAACTTTAAAATCTATTTTTTTTATTTTTCAGTATTTATTTTTAAATATAGTCCTGCCAAAGGACAGCTGCATTCCCCTGCTGACATGTGCACCAAATTCACAGCAAGACAATGAAATATCCCGGCAGCTGCCTACTAGTGCATTTCATTTGTCTCTGGCACTAAACTGGGTATCCTGAACCCGGGCAAGGCTGCTCCTGTCTACCTGGAAAAGGTTGCGAGTATTGCCCGCCTTCCATATGCCCTATTTTGATTGATTGTCGTGGATATGGTTGTTATAGCTTACGAAATCGTGCTATTTTATTAGGTATCCTGCGCTACCTAATCTACGTTGACTACCCCTTGTTGGGAGTCGCTAAAAGATTTTAATTTTTAATCATGTATCAATGTATTTTGAATATGAGCTTCAGTATCAATGAAAAGCAAACATCTGTTCTTTATGTCTTTCTATTTTCTTAAGGGAACTAATCCCTTAAGGAACATAATGGCACGTGAGACTGCCTAATCCAGTGAGGTTGGTAAATCCCTACCTAAAAATGGTTTCTGTTTCTCCAGGTGCAAGGATCCCAAGGAAAAACTATATGCATCTGCCTCTTGAGATTTTGCAACAAAGAATTTTCTTTAGTATATACATACCTATCCATTCATAGCTTAGAAAATTTTCATAAAAATGATATAGTAAATAATCTTAAAGTTTATTAAATATAGGATCCAAGGAACTGGTTCAACAGATAACAAATTTGGAGCTCCAAAATCGTGCGCTGTCCAATACTTTGGGGACAAATGCTCGAGCTTTCTAACACTATTCCTTCTTCCACGAAAAAAGCTACTACTGGTGTTGTTGAACACTTCTTGGAGAGAAAAACTTGTTTTCGCGGTTTGATTTTCTGGAGAAAAATTCGGGTTCTGCGGAACTTAATATTCAGCAACTAGCAAAGATGGCAAACTTTATGAAGATGCAGTTCTCCGAAACAGGTGTCCCTATGCTTTTTTGTAGCTTGTTGGTAGGTTAAGTGCCAACCGATCGCGATAAGCACCTTTTTTCCAGACAAGGGATATGCAGGTTAATTAGCTTTTAAGAAATTAAAGAAATTTTTTAATAAAACTCTTTGGAAGATTCAAAAAATTGTTTAACCTCAGAGATGAGAGAGCAAGAAAGCCGCCGACGCTGTAAGAGAGTAATTTGAGAGAGCGGGTTTTTGGTTTAGTGGTGGAAGATTTTTATTGACTTTATCGATGTATCGATTGTTTCACTTAATTAAAAAAATGCAAGGGCTTATTAATCTTATAACTACTTATGTGCCACAACAATAAAATTATTATACTATTTGAAACTAAATAACATTACTACAATAAAAAATCAGTTGATTTTTTGAATCCATTCATAATAATTTATTAGATGGTCGAGGCTCTGACGTAGAGGTAAACATTATGCTAAAAGCGAAAATATCACTATAGTTTAATGACTATATACAATATATTGACTTAAACAAATTTTACTCCCGTCTTTCCCGAAATGTCTTTTTTGTACCCCGAAGAAAAGGAATATACGAATATAGAAACGAGTATAGAAAAACGGATCAATGATCGTTCTCTAGCGCATGAGCAACTATCGATAGTGCCATCGCTTATTAATCGACCAAAGAGGTATATAAGGCGGGCCGCCGCTCGCTGGCTCTCTCATTCTCGAAAAAAACCTACCGAAGGTAACTCTGTGGTTTGAACGGCAACCGAAATCCAACGGCCAGCGACTTTCCCAGCAAAGCTACAAGAAGCAGTTTGCACAAATTAATTAAATAGCCAGTTTGCAAAAACTCTGTGTTGATCTTCGACTCGTGTTTTGCGCTGATCAAAACCCAAAATCTAAACGTGCTTTCGCGCTTCGCTTTTGAAAAGTAAATCCAACAGTAAATCAAAATGGCTGATGTGGCTGAGCAAAAGAAGTGAGTAATATTTGAATTGTTCTATGTGGGTGTATATGTGTGTGCCTGTGCATTTGTTTAAACAATTGTCTGGATCTGGATCTGCTGGTGCCAAAAGTTGCACCGAATTTCGCGAATGTACACCTTTTTCAATGTTCGCCGCAACGGTTTGGAAAAAATTTTCTTTTTGAATTCTGTGTCTATATACGCAAACCGCTTGGCGGCACACAGCAGTTGTCTCTCTCCCTCCAATGGCCGGCAAACGTGCGCGCAAAAAACGACGCCGTTGAATTTGGCGCGGCGTCATAGTGCCTTCTCTCTCACTCTCCGGCCGGCAAACCAACGGCAATGTGAACCGACTTGTCTGTGTACGTATGCAGCAGTTGCGGCAAAAGCTAAGAAGTAACTGTGAGTGTGTGCGTGCGCCAAGCGAAGTGCGCAAAATATAGAAGCGTGTGTATGTCTAGCATTCAAGTTGCCGCTCTTTTTTTTCTCGAGCTGATTTCAGCTGTCGTTTGCCTGGCTCTGTGTTTGCTTTGCCTTTTCTTCTGTTCCCTGTCCGACCATTAATTTTTGTCGGTTTTGCTCCACACGTTTTGGTTGTCTAAAGCTCAAAGCTTGACATTAAATTAGCAGCCCTCTTCTTCTCTCCCAGCTAATGAGCTGCTGCTCAAGTTCTTTTCATGTCAGGTATTTTGTCACTGCCTAAAATAATCTCACTTGCCGGCTAACCGGCAGCCGCATTCTTGTCTGGCTTAGGTGGCCTAGCGGTGGGGGGCGGTGGGGAACTAATAGAGAAGTGGTGAAAAACCGTTATAACTTTTGTCTGTTGTCTTAGGTTGTGCCGGTTTTTTGGGATAATGGCGAGAGAGAGAGAGCCGGGGAACAGGATAGTGGGTGATTTTACTTGTATGTGTTTGTGCTTTTTGACCGTTATTTTTGTCGCTTCCTTTGCCGTTGCACATTTGAAATGCCACCCTCTCACTCGCACTGGATACCACCCTCTCTGTTACACCAAGTGCGTGTGCAAGCGAGACGACTATCAGGGCTTTATAGCCGCATAAAAACCAGTTTTTCTCTTCGCTCGGGTTCGTTTTATTTCAAACAAGTCGCGCTTTTTGTACTTTTTGCAAGTCTGCAAGCATCTCTTTTATGCTACCCACATTTCACATGTCTGGGTGTATGTACAATATATGTATAAAAGCACGAAATAAAGAATATACACATGCATGTCTGTTATATATATTTAATATGGAAAAGAGCACGCTGCCTCCGTTTCAGCCAAATGCCGCTCACCTTTCCTCGGTTTCTTTTTGCGTCGCAGTTTGCACGAGTTGTTGCTCCCATTTATCATTACCGGCAGCGCCGCCGGCGTCGGCGTTGGCAGATGTTACAATGCTTTGTGTTGTTAGTGGTCGTCCTGGGGTGGTGGTGGTGGTTCGAAAGATGCGGAAGCACAAGAAAAAAAAAATTATAGTGGAAGGGGGGAAGAGAGAAAAGCTTTGCCGGCCGCTAGCGTTATAATGGAAAATTTTTAATAATTTCATGAATGTTTGAAACATGCAGCGTGGGGCCATTAAAATAGCGAACAAAGAAACCTTGTTCCAAAATTTTTAATTGCAAATGTAGGATTCTTACATCGGCGGTACTTAATTTTCACTTTTATTATTAATTATAAAAATTATTAAACAAATTTATTTTCCCCCTCTTTAGTGAGACCCCCGTCGTCGAGAAGGTCGCAGCCGAGGAGGTCGATGCTGTGAAGAAGGATGCCGTTGCCGCCGAGGAGGCAGCAGCTGAGAAGCCATCCACCACAGAGAACGGTGCCGCCGAAGAGGAGGGCGCCAAGGAGAACGGAGCAGCCGCCGATAGCGCTGCCCCCGCCGATGCCGTCGATGGTGAGAAGGCCGAGGCTGCCCCTGCTGCCGAAGAGAAGGAGGAGGCTGCTGAGGAGGCCAAGAAGGACAGCAGCGAGGCCGCTCCTGCTGTTGAGAACGGTGCCGAGGAAGCATCCAACGGTGACTCAACAGGTGTGTAAATCAAACAGGATTTTAAAAATGGGACATTTTCTAATTTTTATTTCCCCAAATTACCCAATAGATGCCCCCGCCGCTGAAGCCGTGAAGCGGAAGGTGGATGAGGCCGCCGCCAAGGCTGATGAGGCCGTTGCCACGCCGGAGAAGAAGGCGAAGCTGGACGAGGCCAGCACAAAGGATGAGGTGCAAAACGGTGCCGAGGCCAGCGAAGTGGCTGCCTAAGGTATATGCCCGGCTCAGCAGCACACTCAGTACTCTACATATAAAATACTTACTAACACAAACAAAAAAAAAACCAACAAAAGAAAATCACACAAAATAAGGTTCAGAACCCAACAGCAGCGTGCAGCTTTCCAGGTTGCGGGCATGTCTGTGTGGGGATGGGCGGGCGCAATTATGTCTAAATAACAATCCTGAAATGGGAGCGTAGTCTCAAAGCGTACCCATTACCGATTCTCTCTGTCTCTCTACTAACAAACAAACAACCAACCAACAACAAAAAAAAAAAACAAAAAAACAAGAAACAACAAAATCCATTATCATTTAAAACCTTACTTAAAAACTTAACTTTAAAGAAAGTATATGTAAAGCAAAAGATTAAGTGAAAAAAACAAGCGAAAGTAAGATGCGAGACCCTCTATGTTTTAAGATAAAAAGTTGTAAACAAAAAGCGTCAAATTTAATAATTGTAATAAAAATACGAAGCGATGAAAAAAAAATTGCAAACAAAATCCCTAAATAAGCAAAACAATAAGAAAGTAAACGACAAAAAACGAGAAAACACTGCATTATGCATTTTTTTTTTCTTGTCAACTTGACGAATAATTTTTAATTTAAAAAAACTTTGATCCTATAATGTGTATGAGTATTTATATATATATATTTACCAAGCAAAACTTTAGAATCGGCACAATATAACAAAAATGCTGCCAACAACACCACAGATCAGTTTTTGTTAGCTGACAACAAAGCAAATCATCATACCACATAGAAACAATAAAAACAAAAACTATAAGAAATCCAATTTTTATATAGCAATGAAAACAGAACCATTTCTTTAAAAGACGGGCGGCATATTGTCCTTCAAACTGTCTTAAATGTACAATTAACTGAGCCGCATTATTCTAATGGTTTTATTGGCAGTTTTCCGTTTTGCTTGCATTTCATTTATCCGGGGCGTATATAATTAACTATTACTTGCTAATTTGAAAGTTATTGCGCCCAATTTTTTGTCCCCAGAAATAACAGTTCAGTTAAGGGCCCAAAAGCAGAAATGGCCAAAAAACAGGCATTCATCAAAACAAACATTTAAAAATAAACGGAAGAAAATATAAAATATTGTTCATATTTTTTGAGGTTATGGGCGAAGCTTTCTAGTAATTTCTAGAAAAATCTGTTGCGGATATTGGTGGACACGACTGTACTTCCGTGGCAACAGTTTTGGTGAATAAAAGTAACCACCTCTGGGGACCTCTGGAAACTTTGAGAAAAAGCTCTGTGCGTTTTTGTTAAAATAGAAATGATCGAATTGGGGATCGGAGCGTGAATCATTCTTTGCGACTAACCAAAAAATAAATATGGATGATTCATATTTGAAAGCTCGCTTTACTAAAACGGTAGGAAAAATATAGGATCAATATTAACACAACTAAAATACTGGTTCATTCTTGAATTATTATGAAATACTGTTTATTTAGGTCCTATGCTTTAGGTCCTATGCTTAGGTCCTATTCAGTTATTTATTTTTATTGTTTCTTACACTAAATATATTAATTTTAATTTTAAAATATATATCAAATCAAATTATTCTTTTTTACATTTTAAAGCGACATCTAGTTGCAATCGACGGCACTTTACGATATCGCAAATGGGACAGTGTAGGAAACGCTTTTAGATTTATCGGTTCTTCACAAAATCTGGCAGCTCTGCAATCTAACCAAAAAACTTAAATTATTGTGGTATTTTATTTTAAATTTTGTTTATATTTAATAAAAAAGTTAATAAATAAATTAATATATACATAAAATATAGAATATTTGTTGTTTAAACAGTCTTTGAAGCTTATATTCTTCTGCTTTATAGCATAATTTGAAGAACATTTAAGATTTCGGTTTATTTAAAATGTGTTCGTGCCACAAGTCACGATACAACCGAGAAAAACCTTCAAAAAAGCTTTAGGAAACATAATTCTGAAACGCAATTGATCGTCTTTGACCTAGAAAACGTCCAAAAATATAAACAGATCGAACTATGTGCAAACAAAAACAGGTTATTGTTGCAGCGCAAAGTCAAATTAATAAAAACTAATAAGAACTTATGTATTGGCAGTGTTATGTTTAGTATTTTAAAAATTTTTGGCCAGATCATTTCAGACCTTTCACAAAATTCCAAATTTTTGAATTTTATTTCAAAGACAAAAGTTTTTTTTGGTATTTTTCTAGACTCTACGACAAGCAACTTGCAAAAAAAAACGAAGCTGATAATACGAAAACGATCCCAGAGAAAACTAGAAATCCTCTCGCTTTCGCTGTGCTCCCATAAAAAAGCTTTTTGGATTTCTGGCTGATCAAAGGCGGCGGGCGTATTTCAGACTCAATCGTTCTCGCGCGCTGAAACCGTTAAGACTTATTAACAAAATAGTGTTGTTGCAACTAACTTTTAACACAAGTGACGTGAAGTGAAAAAAAGAAAAACAACCGCAATCCGTTCAAGTGCCTTTACGCCTCGTGCCATTATTCCCCCATATTTCTGGTGTCTGTCGTATGTGTATTTGTTTACTGTGTCTGCCCCATAAAGAGCGCAAGACGACGATGTCCAACAACCTGCAAAAGGTGAGTTCAAGGCGTCAAATTTAAAGTTTTCTCCCAATCGAGTGGTTCTTTACTTAGTTTTGCCAATCAATTTGCGTTCTCAGATCTGTAATAATTAATTTTTTCAATGTCAATATTGATATTTTAAGCAAAGTGGAGTGATTAAATTTATATATTTTGGGCTTTCCTGAGTTCTCTCTTTTACATTGGGCCTTACATGCTTGCGAAATCCTTCAAGGTTCATTGACTGTTTTATATGACTGTCTGTTTGTTTTCTTTATTGCTTTATGAAGGGATCTTATCTTTGATTTGTCTCGCATTCCAGTTTTTTTGCGATTCCTAGCCGATTCGTAAACTCCTTATAAAAGTGCTCTTATCGTCTTATCGCAACTCGTGGATCACTTTTTTCGTATTTTGGCGCTATTGCCCTCCATTATTTTCTGTTATCAAAATTTTAGACGTACATATGAGTATTTTTTTTTTAATTTATATTTTTTTTTTTGCCCGGCGATCAAAAGTGAGTTGTGACCGGATGAATTTTACTACATTGTTGCGGTTTAGCGAGTCATCACTTAAACTCACGTGTTTTTTACCTCATTGCGCAGTTAAAACTTAAAAGATGGCATTAGATAAATCACACATTTGTATTGTTTTCCATTTAAGTGCATCGATTCCGAAAAATATATGAAATTTTGTTTGATTTAGGGCTTTTTTTTTACAATTACTGTTCAGTGGTAATTCCCAATCTTAAATTGAACTTTGGTTGGCTGATTCTGAATAAATAATTTTGCTATACACGAGACTGTATTTTATGAATATGCAAACACATGCCAATGGGTTATTAATCTCATTAGCAGTCTTATCAGATAATGGGCGATGATTAAAATTGAATTACTTGGAAAATCGATATTTTTTTTATTTACTTTTATTTCTTATATTTTTTTCACATATGGAATTAAATGTGTTATAATAAATTATTATACGAATAGGATGATTCGGGTTTAAAGGTTTGTTTTTCATCATTTCGAGATACACATCATCATTTTCTAAGAACCACCTGCTGCCGATTAATGCGTTATCTTCACAAAACTATAAAATACTCACTATATCAGATAAGATGCATAATAAAACTAAGCAATTTTACGTCAAATCATCCATTCACGTGCTATTCAATAAAATCAGTAAAATGTACGTATAAGACTAGGATGTTTTTATTTTGGAGCATTATTTTGTTGCCAGGAAGCCCGTAAATGACGTAAGAGGTGGTTCCAAGTCGGTTTTATTAGATCCCGAGTAAAGTTTGCAAAATCTAATCAACAAAAAATTCGCCTTTTTCGGCGATTTGGTTTATCAGCCAAAATATGACCTATATAGTGCCTAATGGCGTTAAACACTTTATGAATATTTGAGCAAAACCTTGTGATAAGAATGCAAATCAAAATAGCTAAGAAAACAGAGCAAAAAAAGTAAGAAAAATCTGTCTTTCTCATAGGTATCTTATTCTCGACTTAAAGATTAATTTATTTAGTGGATTAAACATATTTTATAATTTATTATTCTCGAAAAGCCTGTCGACACACACTATTTATTGTACATGATTTTATATAATAGTTGGCTGATAACTACGCAACTATGTATACTTAAGATAAGGCTTCGAAAGAGCCTATCAAAATCTGTGTTTCTTTATATTTTATTTACAATGGGCCTTGTTGAATTTCGTTGCTAATTTGGCGCTTGCCAATTATCGTTTATAGTTTTATTCCCTAAGCTCGTGGCTGGTAAATTTGACATATTTATGCCTGAAACTGTTGCCCAAATACTATTAATTAATTAGGATTGCAAATTGGTTATTTGCTATGGCTTTGCGACTGATTGTGTGACACAGAAAATAACAGAAATTCTCAATAACAAAGAAATGCGCCTGTATTCTGCATAAATATTAAAAATACTGACTAACCGGACGTGATAAGAGATTGTGTGTGTCGTGCGTTGTTGTAAGTGGCAAATGGAAGATTTTCTTGTAGACGATGCTTGCGTGGAAAATTCCATAGATTTGATGGAAAATTAAATGGGCTTTGCTGAGTAAATTTTAGTAAATTTCAGAGAGAGAGAGTAATAAACAGGGTCATCAAACGGTTGTCAAATAAATGCGAATTAAATCGCTGCAATTAAATGCACTTGACCATGTCTACCCCACCTGAGTTTTAATATTTATAGCTGGAGATTAGCAAGAAGTGCGTAGTAAAATATATTCGTTATCTTATCTCGTAGTGGCCAATAAAAGCTTGTTGGCCAAGAATTACAAGGCATTATACTTGGCAAGTGTGAAACCAAAACCCTTCAACCAAATTCCCAACCGTTTTCCACTATTTTTACCTGTCGCCAACAAATTGTAACATCTGTTGTAAATCCCATCAAAAAAATTCTTTTTTGGGTAGGATACCTAGAGAACCCTAGAAGAAGACCTTTTGGGGGTGGCGCCCCTAGTTTATTGTTCTTCTTGTTTGAGAGAGAGAGAGATATAGTAGGAGAGAGAGAGTGCCGGAGAGAGTAAAGAAAGTGGACTACCCCTTGGACCGCCACGGTTGCGCTTCGAAGAGTCAGTCTGATTTAGACCGACCACCTGAGAAGAACAAATCAATCCGAAAGATTATTCTTGTTGAGTGCCTTCGATACTTACATTTTATATAATAAAAGTGTAGTACAATTTATATAGTATTGGAATATTTACAAAACAATATCCGTAGTATGAGACAGCGCAATCTTGGGAACAACAACGCCCTGAAACGCCATCGTCAGCAGCAGCAAATAGATCGGAATTGTTGTTTAAGTAAACGTTGTAACTATGATAATATCTGGCAGCATTTTAATCGCAATGTAAGCCTTATTAACATCTATTGTTAGTCTAAGAAAATAATAGAATAATACGGTTTTTTAAACAAACTTTTAGTTTTCATATTGCAATGTCCTAGTTGTGAAATGTCGCATTATATTTTTGCAGAGAATTAAATCAATATGTTTTTGTTTTGCCGTCTACACCTCTAATTGCATTTGCATTTTCCTACCTGCAATGTTTTTGTTATTTTTAGTAGCCGCAAGCCCCCAGGGCCAATTGTTTTGTCGATTTGCTAGCACGCAATCTTTTTCGCTCTTTGGCTATATATACATACATATGTATATAAAACCATTAGTATTTCTCTTTCTCTCTTCATCTTCTCTTTGGCCAACCACCCACTTAACCACCTATTCAACCACCCACTCATTCACCCTCTTTTTCGCCCTTAACAGGCCACCCTTGAGGAAATTCGTTACGCGGCGGCACGCATATGCCGGGACCATCTAAATGGACGCTGGAAGACGGTGGCTCCTGAGGATTTGATTGTGAAACGGATCAGGTAATTATATCCCATTATAATGAATAAGATCCTTTTAATAAATCCTTATTAACTTTTCAGTGGGGGATTGTCAAACTTTTTATATTACATAAGTTTGCCGGAATTCAATGAATATGAAGAGGAGGAGGAGGAGGAGCAGCAGCTACAGAAGCGCCAACAAATCGAGGAAAATGTCAACGGCAAAGACGTCACAGCTACTGGGACAAAGAACAGCCCAGTTTATGCACGCGATGATGTGGTCGAGACCAAGTCCGTGGGCGTGATGGCTGGCGCCACCAAACTGGTGACTCTCGCCGACGATGATGACGACACAGCAGTGAGCGAGAAACAGGCCCCAAAACGTCAGAGATTCGATAGCGATAGCGTCGCCTCGACCTATTTGAAACGAATGCAACCCCCCAAACAGGAACCCCGTGAGGTAGGTCACTCCACAGCACGCATTCCGCTGGCATTCTTTAATCCCAATGGATTCTACAACAGGTCCTGTTGCGCATCTATGGACAGACCCATGGGGATAATGGTATGGAGAACATGATCACCGAGTCGGTGGTGTTTGCTCTGCTTAGTGAGCGCAACTTTGGTCCCAAGTTGTACGGAATCTTTCCGGGTGGACGCATTGAACAGTTTCTTCCGGTAAGTAAGAGAATATTATTTGATTCATAAGAATTCTGATGTATTATATTTATAAATAGGCACGTTCCTTGGCTACCGCAGAACTGGGTGAGCAACGGATTTCGATGAAGATTGCCGAGAAACTGGGTGATATCCACAGCTTGACTATACCCATGTCAAAGGAGCCTGATTGGATTTGGGCCTGTATGCACCGCTGGGTCTCCAGCTTCGATGGCATTATGAAGGGCAAGTGCCTGTCGAAGTCGAAGAGCTCTCCAGTGTTGAAGAAACAAATGGAATTGCTGCGCACCATTGACTATGTAGAGGAGATCGCCTGGTTGAAGTCGGTCATTGAATCAGGGGATTATCCTGTGGTCTTCTGCCACAATGACTTGCAGGAGGGAAACATATTGATGCGTCAGACTCAGCAAGAGCGCACTCCAAGAGTGTCGATCAGTAGCTTGAGGTGGGTTTCGAATCCTTAAATTAATATTCCTTTTAAATCAAATAATATATGTTTATTGCAGATCCACCTTCGATGAGACCCTGGGCGATAGCCTGGACGGAAATAGCAACAGCAACATCTCCGAACCGGAGCCAAAGTAAGTATATAGATTCTCGATCAGCCGCTAACCCGTTATTTTGTTGTGGCCTGCTAACCAGTAACTACTTGCCATTGGCCCCCTCCTATTCATTAATTTTAAGCCTCTGCTCGCCAGACCCATATAAAACTACCTACACTTTTAGATGGCCCCAATTTGCTGCGGTCGTGGCTTGAGTATAAAATTGTTGTGCGCTGGTCAAATGCAATAAAATGTTGGCCAAATGCAAAACAAAATACAGGTTATCCATGACATTCCCCATATGCGATGTACACGAAATGCTAATGTTATGCTTTTCCAAAAACTCTACCGATTATATAGCAAAGTGCACAGCGTTTCGCCGCCACCCTGCCCGGAGCTGGACACCACAGACGATTCGGCACTGGACTCTAGCTTCACCATCGATACTGAGCCGGATCTCATTATCATTGACTTTGAGTACTGTGCCTACAACTATCGTGGCTACGATCTGGCGAATCACTTTATCGAGTGGACCTTCGACTACACCAATCCCCAGTACCCGTACTTCCATCACAACAAGAGCAACTATGCGACTGTCCAGCAGCGTCGGGACTTTATAGTCCAGTATCTGAAGTCGTACCACGACGACGAGAACTACAGTCCCAAGGTCCAGGAGTTGGAGAAGGTGGATGAGGAGATCCGATTCTTCACCATGCTGTCGCATCTTTTCTGGAGCCTCTGGTCGATCATTAACTTGACTTCGGCAATTGAGTTTGGTTACTGGGTAAGTATTTCAAATAAAAAAAACATACTATTAGTTGCTAATTGGTGCTTTCCTTTCAGGAATATGGCATCGCTCGGATTGTGGAATATAAAAAGCTCAAGTCCGACTATCTATCCAAATGAAATTAAGAAAATGGGCGAACATGAATCGAGGATCAAACACCATCAGTCATCACTTAAATCGAATCATAAACGTACTTAAGTGGCCTTAAACATTAAAGTCCTTGTGCTCCCCGCCCATCATTGTCCTCGTCTTGGAGTTAGAGTCCGTACTGTACTGTAGGTATTTTCTTGTTGGTTAACAACGACAGGGTAATCACACTACTTCAATATGCCACGCGGGAAATGGGAAGAGATCAGAACCATTCAGAAAGACTAACTTATTTTTGTATAGAACAATTAGTGCATAGAATTGAAAAAATGCTGAAATGAAAAGTGAGGAAACTGACTTTAGCTGTGATTATTGACAGATGACAGATAAAGAGTGGCTCCTGTTGTGGACCCAACGTCTATGATCGAAAGTATTATACAGGCAGCATCCTAAGCACCAGCACCCCCAAATTATTATAATCTGCGCAGGCTGATCCTAAAAACTAAATCTATTTTACTATTCTCTATATCCATTTCGAATTTATTGAATATTCGAATTTGTTTAGTTTTCCAATTCTAAAAATTACTTTCGCATCTAAGTATTATTTTGCATTCTACTCACAGGTCTAGGCAATTCGTTAAACTCCTTCTATACGCAAAAATAAAAATAAAGCTTAGTTGAATTTTTGAAAATGATTGTTAAATGATCACTCGCGATACTTTTGCGAACCGGAAATAGACAACAACCAACAAAAATGTGTTTTTATGTACCTTCTACCTATCCCATATTCCTTAATAGAACTTAGTTGTATGTTTTTTTAGAATGTAACTATTTTTTGCGTATATATTTTTAATAAATAAATTAATTAATAAATATATATTATAGAAAATAATCAATTTTGGTTTTCTCTGTTGAATACTGTATAATAATTTTACAAAGAAGGACCTGCCAATCAACTGCCTGGTCTAATTTTGACATTAATTCAAAACACAATGCCTGGGGGGGATCTAATCTGAACAGAACTAACCAACCGACAATGGCACGCATCTTTAATTAGTGCAACAGCAGAAGGACCATTTAAATGCCTGACTAGCTGGAGGTCCTTTCGCCTCCATCTGATTACATTACTCCCCAAAATGTCCGTGTCTTAGCTTGTGGTTCTATACATATATTGCTCTTGATAACATTCACAGCTAACTCTGCCATGTCCTTTATACATACCCATGATGTTAAAGCAATACAAGGATATTGCCCGTGGGTGGGGTATGGAGAAGTTAAGGATACTGCTCCTGTCAGGGACGGCTATTGTTTAAATACGATAGCAAACCCTGTGTTTGCACTCGGGAATGCAAAAGAATTGGTTTTTGGGCTGCATCTCCCCATGGCTTCTTTGGGCAAAGGTGCTTTGTTGTTACAATCAATGCCTCTGACCACAATCCGAGAAATCTCAAATCATTTGGGGAGTTGGTAGCCTTTAACCTAATTAATTGGCAGATGTCTTGATTGAAAGCTATTCACAATAATTATTATAATTAAAGAAAATCTTGTATCAAAATAAAAAAATATAAATATATAAAAAAAAAATCTTGGTTCACGGTCAAAATTTAGTAATTTCGCAAAAACAAGATTCTGAGATAATCGCGGTTTAAAGTTTTAAATTTTTTTCGGCCCAAACTTTGTTTGTAAACAAAACAGTTTATTTCATAAAATTTATATTGTTTTTAAGGTAAATTTTTATATATTTTTTTTAAGTGTCTATTTTTTTTTTAGATTTTACTTAAAAAAATTGAGAACCGGAAAAGTGAGAAGTCTCCAATTCAATATTTTTACTTTATTTATTTTACAGTAAAATACTTTATTTTTACACAGTATTTTTTTTAACCTGTTGGAGTCCCGCGCGTTTTTTCCCGCGTTTAAATTCGAACCAAAAAAAAAAACGCTGCTAAAAACGCGCGCGACTTTCTGCACCTCGTGTGTTGAAAAACGTCAAAAAATGTTGCTGCAACATAGCGTGGTGAACATAGTGAAATTCTTTCCCCATGTTGCAAGGTGTGGTGAGATTAATATGTTGGCTAATTTCCCCTCCATTTTGTTGGCAAGAAGAAGATGTTGCTGCAACATGGCGTGGTCTTATCGAAGAAGAAGAATCTTAAGAAGAAGAAGAAGAAGCTCTTAACTGACTAAGACGCTTTGTTGGCAGCGTAAGAGTGTTTTATTTTGATTTTTTAATGCGCTTAACTTTTTGGTCAAGATGCCAATGGAAGCCGCAATGTTGGTGGTCGATTGAGCGATAAAAATATGACTTTGTCAACGCTTTCTCTTTCAAAGCATTCAAATCCCATTCTTTCCATAGTTTCAACATTTCTTCAATTTATTTTCTCATGGTAATTTCATGTTCAGATAAAAACCAACAATTGCTTGGAAAATTACAAAAATTTTTTTTTTTTTTTTATTTGGTAATTTAAGAAGTCTTTATTAATTGAAATTTACAAAACTTAATTAATTTAAATGGATGCCTCACAAATAAAATATTTTTTTTCATATGTGTCAACATGATACATAAAAGTACCCATCTCCGTTTTTTCAATGGCAACAGAATCCTTGGCAAAATTTAAATTTGGTTCGCCATCTGCCCAGGCAAAGTAATTATCTTTTAAGCCTGAAGATATCGACAGAAATTTACCTCCCTCAAGCTGATCCGTAAGGTCGATATGATATTGTGCACCATTGTGAAGCTCCTTTGAAATGTTCCTAATAATTCCAGGTCGTTTCTCGGAGTAGCCAAATGGCCACCAAGTTCTTGGCATTTATGGAAGGCGTCGATCCATTTTCTCAATTTTTGTTCTCAATGTAGTAGTACTTGTCGCCAATTTTTTTAAAGTTTTGTTCTATCTTTTCCTTTTGCTCCTGTGTGGCTATCTCCTTTTTCTCGCAAACAAATAACATATTTTCGGTACAAAATGCATCTTTCATTTGCGACAATGTGTTGATGGTGGGACACAATAATATTTTATTTATGTTTAGATTTTGGTGCACAAAATTGGGCGCCAAGCCGGTCGTTGCAGATAAGAGCTCATCACGATCACCATCATTTATTTGATCGTTTAGATCAATAAAGTATTCCTTGTTGGGCCTCAGTTCTTTGCTGATGTCATCAAGCTCCTGCTGATTTTTGATACTTGCTAGATGGCCGTCCATGCTGCTGCAATGATACAGAGCTCCAAGCCACTTTTGTTCTTTGTCATTTTCAATATAATAGCACTTGGATCCAATTGCTTTAAATTGTCCTCCACATATGCTTGTCGGCTCAGGCTGATGCTGGGGCTAATAAAACGTTCCTTTAATTAAAATTTGTAAAATAATTTCAACATTAAATACGCATACCGCCTGTCGGACCCATAGGTATCTCCCCAAGCACACTGTCAGTCCAACAGCCAGAATTATTAAAATTCCATATCCCATTTCGGTGACTTTACTTCGCGCCTCACTAAACTTGACTGAATATATAGGTTCGTTCGTGTTCATTCGACAGATTTCTTATCAATAAAGAGAACCCGAAATATTTTTGACCTCAAGGGAAGATTGTCGTAGGTTCTAATTTTTATTTAATTCCACGTCAAAAAATATGAGAATGTATGTGGCGCGGGTTTTGAGTATAAGACACTTCCTGATGAAATTTTTAGTATGGTGTAAGAAACCGCACAGAAATTCAAAATTTTATCTTTAAAACTATGTAAAATATTAATCTATAAAAAGATATTTTTCAAAAAGTTCAAGCAATATTTTGTATAATAAATAAAATTCTGCTTAAACTTCCTAAAGAGGCAGTGGGGCTTCGATTTTAATGTTTATATAATTTCAGCGCAACTTTTTATTCACGCTTGATAGTTTCAGCTCTTGGCCGGGCATTGAAATTCAATTTCATGGCTCCTTGCGTTGGACAATCTGCCCACTGTGCAAGTGCTAAATAGTTGACTGATTTGTATTCCACCCACAATCAGATGCATCCAAATTCCGGACTCGGGAGAGGTCAGCCGTGGCTACAAACATACACATATCCGTATGCATCCGTACAGTCAGCAAATGAATGAACTGAACCGTCGATAGCTTCTGTTTTATGGACCCCGGACTCGGGATCCGTAGCTGGCATGAAGGTTCTTCGAAACATAATGAAAACTTTTCGATCGAATGCACACTCGGACCGCCTACATGGCTCTTTTAACTGTTTGTAATTGCCCCAAAAGTTGTATTTGTAGTTGCTACTGCCACAGCGCAATTCCAGGATGCTACAAATGGGGCAGCAACGGCAACAACGATTAAAAAAGTGCTTAATTTTAAAGCTGATATACCTTAAAATACATACCAGATTAATAAAACATTAATAGTGCTATTCTAGTTCATAAAAATCATATCCATTCTGTACACAACCAAAGATGCACAAGAAACACCCTCTATTTACATGATGAGTAGCCAGAAATCATTAAAAACCTCTTCATTATAATATTCATAAGAAGCATGACCAATTACCAATTTCTTACCTGACCACAAGGTTAATGCCTAGTCAAGCCCAAACACTTTTTCAAGTCAACACGCTTCGGTTTCTAACCCAAGGACCCCCAGCGTTGGATGGGCGGTACACTTAAACATTTCCCTTATCACCTAAAAAGAAAAACTTTGGCCAACAAAAGAGTGAAAATGCTCTTTCCAATTTGTAAGCAATTATCCCATTTTTAATCGAGAATTGTTTGCCCAGACAATTAAAATTTAGATATGCATGCACGAGTTGGCCCAAAGAAAAAGGCCAACTGTAGGGTTCATTTGGTTGGTGTTTGAACCGGTTTGGACAGCTCGTTCCTAGGAAAATAGAATAAAATATGTTTGAGAATTATTTTTTCCTTTGGTCTGCAGACTCTGCATAATAAATTAATTGAAAGTATATAGCTTGAAATTTGACTAATTGGCCCAGAGCCGAAGCTGGAGATTTTGTTGTTTTCCCGCCTATCCTGTCACTTTTCCATAGTCGGGGGGAGAAGTATCTAAAATCGGTTCATATGCAGGCAGCTACAAGAAAACTGCATTAAGCATCATCCGCAGACTTAAAAGTCCATGTTAAATGGAAATTATTTAACCAATATGTTTCGGATGCTTTCGTGTGAGGTAATTAAAATGAAGAAAACAAAAACTTCTTTATATGGGTAGCGTCTAAAGGTCAAACCCAACTTTATTTGTTTTTTGGTATTTATGGGTTTCTTTTGATAATTAATTGAGGGATGGATGAAAAGTCATGTTGTTCTAGAATAATATCGGATTTGTTCTCACCTGATTTGGAAAGTGAATAATAACAAAATAAATTGAATTTGAAGTGTATTCTAAACTAAAAACGAACACCAAAACAAAAGTTTATTATACTGTTATCAATTGGGTTGGCCTCTGGGGCATCTTGGTTGATGATGATTCCTCTCAGACTTTAACATTATCTCTTTACTGCTTCATTTCCCCATTAAACAATTTGTCTCAATTTGTGGCCAAACACTTGCACAATCAACAAAATAAATCTCACTTTCGTGGACAAAAAAAAAACAATTTTTTTGTGAAACTAGTGTGAGTTTTGGAAACATGTTTTGTGCTTTACGACCAATGACGGCACTAATCAAATATAATTTTTAACTATTTACGAGTACATTGCCGCACATTTCCCACATAAATTATTGACAATAATGCCCGGCACGGGGCACGGCCTAATGCAAAAACACAAAGTAGGAGGGTCACTGTCATCCTAGGAGGGAACTAGGCTAAGAAACGAAAACCAAAACAAAAAAAAAAGAAGGGCATAAATAATACGAGGCCCATAAGCGAAATGAAAGAGTCCCCCCCTTTGTTTCCACACCGCCCACAGTAATTGAGTGATCATAAATATGTGAACATCGGCTTTACCATTGCGGGCGGACCGAAAAACAAACCCTGTTCGCCCCCATTTTCCATGGCAGCCACAGGGAACAGATTAGCTGCGGCCTGATGGGGCATTTTCCCAGCAGTGCAGACAGCTCTCCATACAAATGAGGGTTTGACTAATCCCAGATATTAATGGGCGTAACCTTTGCCGGGGGCGATCTAAAGTTTCTGAGACCCCAGAGACACAAAAGTCAACAAAGCTTGGCTTTCTTGTAGTTTTTATGGTCTCTGGGATTTGGCTTTATTAAGGAAAGTGCATTACAATTTTGATTAATCCTATACACAAGCTTTGTATAGGTATTTTATCTTTCAATCATTGAAATAGAAGAATATGAAATCCATAATTAGTAAGCCCATTATGAGTGGAATAAAATGGATTTTAAAGGTAAAACCACAAGTGTCTTGGTCGATCCATTGGGAATGCGTCAAGCGTCTTCAATCTCGGCTCAACTCATTTCCTAATCAATTAAATATTCCAATTTAAATGGCCAGAGCTGGGATGAATGAATGAAATTGAACAAATGGAGGGCAAATGGAGGAGGATTTGAGTGTAACCAGGAGCTCCATTCTGCATCCTTTTGTGATTTCGTAATTACATCTAATGAATTCAGCGAAATGAAATTGAAAGACCATTGCAGAAATTCTAAGGGAACTAAGGAAACTCTTCTCTGCCCTCGTCGTTGCTCCTTTTTCCCCTTTACTCTTCCCAAGAAGCTGCAATTTAGGCTTTTGTCCGTCTCTTTTTCCATTTTCTCATGCCATGGCTATGCAAATTTAAGTTTGGACATTTTTGTGGATGGCAAGTCCGGTATGTTTATGTGTGAGGTCGCACAAAGCCAATTAAACACTTTGGGCTATCGATTTTATATTGTCCCCAGATCCTGTCATGAACTGGTCTGCATCCTGGAGAGCCCATTCACCGGCTGCCTTCTTCTCCGGCGGTGCAAGTGTTTTAAGCACATTTTGGGTAATTGACATTTTGACATCAATTACCGCACTTTTAGGACGAACAACTTGTTGTTGTTTGCCGACTAAAGTTAAGTGTCCTTAAAGCGAGGAAGGATAGAGAGATCCACTTGCATAGTCAAGCCTTTGAAAAGGCTTAAGGATTTGAGAACAGGTGTTGTTACTTAAATGCTTGGAGTAAAATTATTTAAACAGTTTTCTGCTAATACGAGTCGTTTTATTCAAAACTTTATAACTTAAAGTTTAAAAGGAAAACTATGAAATATGCTTAAATTCGTTTCAGCTTTAAAATACATCTAATCAAGATTTCAGATAAAAAAATCTTTTTGGCCAGCTTTCAGATGCAAGTCCCCCCGAGACTGGGCCCGGTGGCGTCCAAGTGGCGCCTCTTGATGCCGCCGATGCATATACTTTCGCATATATAGCTCCTTTGGCTACCAGATATCTCAGCTGTCAGTGTGAACTCAATGGCAGCCAGACTGTCAGGCTGCCAAAATTCAAAAGCGGGCCAAAAGCAGCCAAACATACTATATTGAAATCGTAGCTCCACAGCCAGCATTGGTCCAACAACTCTACAAATTCGCTAAAAAATGGAAGGAAATGTCATTGAATTTTTACACCAAAAGGAGGGCTGGTAAAGAAACCCATCTGAGAATGCGCAAAATAATAAAATAAAGACAAGAATTCAATGCTCTTTGCTTTCCTCTTGTTTCACTCAGTTTGTAAGCATTTTCAAGTCATTTTCGTAATGGAATGACTTTTGAATACTTGAAGAGCTCTTCCGCCGCACTGCAACTCTTTCTATCTAAAAAAATCACATCATCTCCCCCACTACCCCACCACGGCAACTAACTTGCAACTTCTCACATGCTGCAGATTTCGCTGCAACTTCAACGTGGGCTGCATCTTCAAGGGAGTTGCAAAAGCTGTCTATCGTGGCTTTGAAATTTTCATGAACTGAGTCGACACTTTTTTTTTTACTTTTTCTAACTTTTCTTTATTTATTTTATTTTTATATCCGTGCAACAGGTATTTGGTCAAAAGTGTGAAACGCAGTAAAGGCGGCATCTCCGATCTTATAAAGTGTAAAGTACCTCCTAAGTTAATATAAGTCTCCTATAAGTAATTAATCGGAAATGCCATAACTTCGGTAAAATCGTTTAAAGTACTCCTCTTGAAAATCGGCTCAGGAATGCGAAAGATATAGCCATCGCTGTGGGCCCTATGGGGAAAACCCATTTTCAAGAGGTCCAGGAAAAATGAACAAAAAATCTGAAAAATATTTTGTCTCAGGATTTTGATGCAGAATGGTGGGCAATCGCTATAGAAATCGTTTAAAACACACCGCTTGAGAATAAGATGAGAACTGGCGAAGATACAGCCATCGCAGTGGGTCCTATGGGGGAAACCCCATTTTCAAGGGGTCCCATCAGGAAAAAAGGACAAAAAATTGGAAAAATATTTTGTCACAGGATTTTGATGCAGAATGGTGAAGAATCGATATAGAAATCCTTTAAAACACACCGCTTGAGAATCGGATTGAGCCATCGCTGTGGGCCAT